AATGATCTTTTTTTTTGTTGTTCGATCTTGCCTGATTTACTTTCCTCTTGCAAGGTCAGCAGAGTGATTTCCACTGAGAACTCTGAACCCTGGTCTCAGGATCATAATCACTGACCCAGTTCCTGTTCCTTCATGACATTTACTCAAATCTGATGTGGAACATAATGGTCTTAAAGTACATCGACTTTCCTAAAAGTGACTGAAATTTATTTTTTCTTGTGACTCAGTGGTATTTCACTGGGTATATATGCCATATTTGCTTTATCCATCCATTGATATACATATTGGCCACTTTCAAAATTTAGCTATTATGACATAAGCTGTGATGAACATGGGTATGAATGTTCCCAGTGATATGATGGCATTAATTCAGCTGGGTCAAATGGAACTTTTGTTTTTAGTTTTTTGAAACATCTCCATGCTGATTTCTTTAATGGTTGTTCTAGTTTACATTCCGACCAGCATGATAGAATAGTTCCTTTTTCCTTGCAGCCTCACCAGCATTTATTATCTTGACTATTTTGTGTGTGTGTTACCGGGGATTGAACTCATGACCTCACGCTTGCCAAGCAGGCGCTTATGCCACTGAGCTAAATCCCTGGCTCCTATTATTTGATTTCTTAATGATAGCCATCCTTTCTGGAGTAAGATAGAATCCAGTTTTCTTTCAATTCCTCTCGAAGAATTGAGATGTTGAACATTTTTTCTTGTATGAGAAGTTTCTGTTCATTTCTTTTTAAAAATTATTTATTATTTTGGGTTTTTTTGAGACAGGGTTTTGTTATGTAGTTCAGGGTGGCCTTGAACTCAATGTGTAGCCAGGCTGGCCTTGAATTCATAACAGTCCTCTTGCCTCAAGCTCCCAAGAGCTAAGATCATAGGCATGTACCATGAAGACCAATTTTATTCATTTCAGTTGCCTATTTTTTGATTGGATTTAGTTTTTGAGTTCCTTATGTAGCCTAGGTGTTAGTCTTTGATCCAAGGAGCAGCTGGCAAGTTTTTTTTGCCCATGTGTCTGTCTCTTCATTCTATTGGTTGGTGGTTGTGCAGAAGGTTTTGAATTAGATATAGTCTCACTTGTTGATTCTTAATGTTTTTTCTTACGCAGAAAGCTTTTATCTGTGCTTTCAAGATTTTTACCTATTTTATCTTCCAGCAAATGAAGTGTTTCTGTTTTCATATGTCAGTCTTTGACACATGTGGATTTTGCTTTAGTACGTAGTGAGATATAGGGGTCTGATTTCGGTCTTCTGCATGTGGTTAGCCAGTTTTCTCAGCACCATTCGCTGAGGAGGCTGTCTTTCCTCCGCTCTATGTTTTTGGCCCCTTTGTCAAAGATCGATGTTTGAATGTGCCCGAGGTTGTTTCTGCATCTTGTATTCTACTCCATTGATCCACATGTGTATGTCTTGTGCCAGTAACATGTTATTTAATCACTATAGCTTTGTAATGTGTGTTACAGTCTAGAATTGTGATGCCTCCTGCTTTGCTCCTGTTGCCCAGGGTTGTATTTTGCTATGGTTCTCTTCTGTTCCCATGTGAATTTCAGAACTGCTTTCTCCAGTTCTGTGAAAAGTCGAGAACTGTTGATATTTTATTGGGATTGCATTAAATCTATACGTTAGTTTTGGAGGTATGTTCATTTTGACAGTATTGGTTCTGCCAATTCAGGAACAGGATCTGTCTTTCCATTTTTATATTTTCTCTGATCTCCTTGTAAAGAGTACTGTGGTTTAATTATAGCAGTCTCATTTCCTTCATTAGGTTATTTCCTAAGTATTTAATTTTTCTTGAAGCTTTGTGAATGATACTATTTTCCTGTTTTCTTTTTCAGTGTTTGTTATTGATGTACAGGAATATTACTGATTTTTTGACATAGATCCTTCAGATCTATTCTCTGGATCTATGAGTTTATTGGTGGATTTTTTTGATTATTCTCTGTAAAGGATCATTGTCACTTGTATATAAGGCTAGTTTGAAGTTTTCCTTTTCTGCACGTACCCTATTTCTTTCTCTCTTTTGTCTGATTGCTGTGGGTAAAGTTTTCAGTTTTTCCCCCCTTAAGACAATGTTGGTAGTAGGTTTGTCATGAATAGAATTTATCAGATTGAGATAAAGTCCTGCTAATCCCGTTTTAATTACTTTTTTAAAAATCAAGAATGAATAATGGATTTTGTCAAAAGCTTTTTCTGCATCTGTTGAAATGATCATTTCATTTTGGGCCTTCTTTTTGTGTGATGTTATATGTCTTGATTTACGTTTTTTAAACCATCTTTGTATCCCTGAGGTGAAGGCTACTTGGTCATGAAATGTGAATTTTTGATTTGTATTCTGTTTTCCAGATTCTTGTTTAGGATTTTTACATCTTTGTTCATTAAATGATTGGTCTATAGCTTTCTTTTTTTCATTTGTGTCTGTATCTGCTTTTGGAATCAAGGTAATACTTGCTTCCAGGAATGATTTTGGCAATACTCCTTACCTTTGAATTTCATTAAAGGGTTTGAAGTGTATTGGCATTTGATCATCCCTAGAGTTGTAGTAGAATTCAGTGGCGAATCTGTCTGGTTCTGAGCTTTTCTTAGGTTTTTGCTTTATGGCCTCAATATTATTCTCTATTATTTGATTGGTTCAGTTTTGGTGATTCATATGTACCTAGTAATGTATCAGTTTTGTCCAGATGCTCTAAATTTTTGACATAGTTCTTAATAATTTTCTGGATTGCGATGGTGTCTACAATGTTTTTTCTTTTTTCATTTATAATTGCATTGGTGTGGGTTTTACTGTTTTGCTAAGTTTGGCTAAGGGTTTATCTATTTTATTCTTTTGAAGAAGCAGCACTTTGATTCGTTGATTGTATTTTTTAAAGTGTGAATATCATCTCTGATGTTTAAAATTTCCTTTTTCATGCTAGGTTTGGGTTTAGATTGTTTTTGTGTTTTTAGGACCCTAAGGTACATCTTTAGTAATTTAGTTGAGTTTGCTCTATGTTTGTGATTTGTTCACTAGGATAAACTTCCTCTTAGGACTACTTTCATTGTGTCCCATAATTTCTATTATATTTACTAGTATTATCATTTAATTCTAGAAACTAATTTTTTCTTGATTTCTTTGTGACCCATTGATTACTAAGGAGTGTATTGTTTAATCTCTATGTGTTTACATAATTTCTGTGATTTCTTTTGCCACTGATTTCTCATTTCAATACACTATGTTCTGATAGTATATGCGAAGTAATTTTGATTCTTTTGTACTTAAGCATGCTGTATGAGCTGGTATGTAGTTTGTTTTTGAGAAAGTTCTGTGTGGTGCTAAAAAGAATGTACATTCTGTTTGGTGGAACTCTAGATATATATTATGTCAATGTTTTCAAAGATGTGGTTCAACTCTGATATTTCTTTGTTGATCTTTTTGTCTGGTTGTTCTATTTGTTTGTAATAGTGGCATAAAGTAGTATTTCACTGTAATTGTGCTAATGTTTTTGTGATCTTTTATATCCCATAGTGTTGGTTTGATGTAGTTGGATGTCCTGGTGTTTGGTGCATATGTATTTTTATTTATCTCTTCCAGTTGAATTGTTCCTTTAACCAGGATGAAGTGATCTTCTTTGCCTCTTCTGATCAGTTTTGGTTTGTCTGAAAATAGGATAGCTGTTCCTGCTTGCCTTACGACTCCCATTGCATGGAATTTTGCTTTTCATACTTGATGTTTATAGTTTTATATTGTTTGGGCTTTTCTGGAGACAGGGTTTTACTGTGTAGTTCAGGCTGGCCTTGAAGTCATGTAGCAGCCCAGACTGGCCTTGAACTTGTAGCAGTCTTCCTGCTTCAGACTCTGGAATGCTGGAATTACAGGCATACTCCATGATGCCCGGCTTTGATGTTTAAAAGTTTGTGAATTTCTTTTTGTAGTAAATGTGTTTCTTAAATGCAGCATACCACTGAGTTTTATGTTTTGATATTCTATTTGTGTCTTTTGTTTGGAGAATTGGGGTCATTCACATTGAATTTTGTTACTAAAGTTATTGACTCATTCCTGTCATTGTGTTATTTTTGTATTGATGATTTCCTTTGTTTTTCTGTTAACTGTTTCCCCTGTTTGATGTATTCATTCTGTTAGTATTTTTGGCCTCATTCGTTTCATTATCTGTCCAAGAAGTCCTTAAACTTTTGAAATGCTGGTTGGTGGTTATGAATATCTGAAGATTCTCTTTTGTTTTGGAAAGTCTTTATTTTTCCATCAATTTTGATAGTTTTCTGGAATTTCTTAGTCTAAGTGAAAGTTATTTTCTTTCAGGGTTTTAAACATTTAACTCCAATTTCTCCTGGCCTGTAAAGTTTTTGTTGAAAAGTTTGCTGAGGTTCTAAATGGTTTTATGTTTATAAATGATTTGTTTCTTTTCCCTAACATCTTTTACTCTTCCTGTGTTAGACTTCTGGGATTTCCAGTACAATGTGTCATGGAGTTCTTTTTTAGTTTTAAATATGTAAATTATAGATACTTATTTATTTATTTGTACCGGGGATCAAACTCATGAACTTATACTTGCCAGGCAGGTGCTTATGCCACTGAGCTAAATCCCGAGCCCCTAGATTTTTAAAACATAAGACATAAATGTTTAGTAATAAGTAGATTTAATTTAATAAGATAAGGTCAATTGCATGTAACAGCCTTGTGGATCTTCCTGCTTTATGTAAATGATTGCTGAGTTTTAGAAAGCAAGTATTGGGCTGGAGATATAGTATAGTAGTAGAGGACTTGCCTAGTGTGGGCAGGCCCATGGGTTTAAGCCTCAGTAATGGGGGAGGGAAGGTGAAGATTATATTCAGAAGTCGGAAATGCAGGACTTTTTTTGTTAATTTTTTAAAAGAGTAATGGTAAACTTGTATTTTTGACAGTGCATTTTTTGTAGTTATAGCAAATTCTTCCTAAGAAGGCAGAAGCAATGCTTGGAATTAAGCTCTGGGTTCTGAGTTACTTACTTACTTATCTTTACTCAGGTTCCAATAGTTGCTCTCACTGCTACTGCAAGTTCTTCAATCCAGGAAGATATTATACGTTGCTTGAAACTGAACAATCCTCAGATTACCTGTACTAGTTTTGATCGACCAAATCTGTATTTAGAAGTTGGACGAAAAACAGGGAATATTCTTCAAGATCTACAGCCATTTCTTGTCAAAAGAACAAAGTAAGAATTTTGGTAACTATTTCACTCTTTTTAGAAAACTTTTTATTTTATTTTTTCAAATTATTTCATCTGGTGCTATATGTATATAATCTTAGCACTCAGAAGGCTGAGGCAGGAGAATTTCAGCAAGTTTAAGGCCTGCCTAGGGAAAATAACAGGGTTCTGTCTCAACGCCCCCACCCCCAAAAACCCTATTTATTTTCTTTAAATATATTTTAACATATTTCAGAATTTTGTCTTGTTCCGTTTCAAGTATAGTATTACACAGTTTAGTGAGTTACTAAGTATGTAAGCAGTTTTTTCTTTTAACAGCTTTTCAAAAATAGGATGTTGTACACTTAAAAATACAATTTTTTAACTCTCTTAAGTTGTTTATTATGAATATTTACTTTGGAGACCCATTTGGTTGTAATTGAAACTTGAGTAGATTATTTAGCAAGACTCTTCACAATAAAAATATTGCCTAGTTTACTTCTCTGTTTAAGTTTGAATGACTTATACCATAGTCCTTAAAGATTTTTATGAACATTTAATTTTTAAGATACTTAGTGTTTCAGAATATAAGGGTACATAAACTGAACATTTATTTTTCAGTATTATAGCTTTGTTCTGAATATTTATGTACATGTGTCTTTTGGGAGATAGGCAAGCGCTTTTTATAAAGTAGGTTCCTAAAATTGAAATTGGATCAAAAGTTACATGCTTTTAAATAAACTTTTCGTGTCTAAAATCATGTAGTCTTCTTATGTTGTTCACATAAATGATTATGTTTTTGTAAGTTAATATATTGAGTTATTGAATAACCTATGAAAATCATTGTTTAAACTTTTAATAGAAAGCACAAGTTTCTGTAGTATATATTCTAACAAGTATATTTTATAGCATTCATAGCCTCAAGATTAGTAAATATTTTTTGAACCTAAAAGCAATCATTCTTGTAAGAAGTCTAGCATTTTATAAATAGCTATAGGCATTCATCTTTATGAATAAGACTAGTGTAACACATTTTATACATTCTCCTATGTAAATATACATTTTTCTATCTTTTGTATATGTAGAGTGGTTGTAAATCTAGTATATGCCTTCCCAAAAGTATGCATATATTTTTCTTTTCTTTTTTTAAATAACATTTTATTCTAAAACTTCTTGCCAGTTTTGCCTTTAATTAGAACCAAAACTTAAGTTCACATGTTTTGGCGCTTACCAGTTGATTTGATTCTCCATAATGTTTTAGATTTTTATGCTGATAAGTATATCATTTTATATGCTTTTTTCTTTTGGTCTTTTATTTATAATATAGAAAGAGAACCTGGTGTGGCATGGTGATATAAGTCTGTGATTTTGGGAGGCCAAGGCACAAAGTTTAAGTCCCACCTGGGGAACTCAGAAAACCCTGTAATAAACCAACAAACACATACACACCACCAAAAAGCAGTAGGCTGAGAAATTAGCTGAATGCAAAGGCTTTGGGTGCAATACTAAAAAAACAAAGTCACTGCCCCCATCCCCGAAATGCCAAAAAACCACGAAAAAGAGAAAGAGGAAGGAAAACAAAAGAAGGAGAGGGAAAGAAAAGGACAAAGAAAAAGACTGGTGGTGCATGACTATAATCCCAACACATGGGAGGCTGAGGCAAGAGGATTGCTGAGTGTTGGAGGCCAGCCTGGGCTACAAAGTGAGTTCAAGCGTGAACTGCATAGTGAGAGCCTGTCTCAAAACTAGAAAAAAAAAGTAAAGAAAAGAAAAGATAAAGCTCAAACTGAAGTCTAAAGCATACATGTAATATTTATGTTTATTCTCTTGTTCTTTTTTTCTTTATAGCTCTGAATGGGAATTTGAAGGTCCAACTATCATCTATTGTCCTTCCAGAAAAATGACAGAACAAGTTACTGCTGAACTTAGGAAACTGAATTTAGCCTGTGAAACCTACCATGCAGGCATGAGTTCTGGCACAAGGAAAGATGTTCATCACAGGTTCATGAGAGATGAAATTCAGGTGTAAACATCAGTTGTCATCCTTTTTTCTGCCCGATTGTAGAAGAGTAAATATTTCTCAAATATTTATTTTACCACATCTCTATTAAATACTTTTTTTGCCGGGTGTGGTGGCGCACTCCTATAATCCTAGCACTCGGGAGGCTAAGGCAGGAGGATCGTTGCAAGTTCAAGACCAGTCTGGGCTACAAAGTGAGCTCAAAGCTAGCCTCGACTGCATGGTGAGACCCTGTCTCAAAAACACAAAAAATGAAAAACGAAGAGCAGTTTTCATTAGGTTGAGTGTGCTACAGTCCCTTTATTAAGGGGATTGGTATATAATATGAGAGATAGATGTAGGATAAACTATTGCAGACTGATTTAAATAGTACCTGTGGCTTAGGGAGCACTGGTTCTGTTGAGGTAGATTGTGCAATCCAGAAAAATGAAATTCAGAGAGAGCTAGAATGTATAAATAGAAATTTGGGAGCCAGTAGTTTAGCTCAGCAATGTTAAATTCCTGCTTGGCAAACTCCAAGTCATAAGTTCAAGCCCTGTTACCAAAATAAAAAAGAAGAAGTTTGTCCGTTTTATCAGGCCAGTCAGGTGCTAAGGACAACAAAATTTGTTGTAGAATTTCGGAAGACAGACTAGCAGGCAGGGACTGTGGTCTACTTGGTGCAGACTGTGAGCTAGCAGGTGTAGAATGTGGTCTGGTAATGCATAGGAAATTACCAGTGTTTTAGGAACGGGGAGGGAAAACTGGAGTAGAAGTGGTATAAACATAGGTGAAGAGGAAGTGTGACGCTGTTAGAGACTCATAGGAAAAATGCTAAGTGAGTTAGTTGGCCAGGGAATGGGTAGCTTTAAAATGTGCAAAGAGGCAGGCAAGGCTTAACTACTTTAGCCTTGGAATTGTTAATCTAATTGGACTTTTATCTAACAGGTAGAGCAGATTAAAGTCGAGTAATTCTGGTCAAAGTTGGTGTGAAGAAAAACAGTTCGCAGGCCTCCCAGAAACCTTATAGTCCTTCAGGTGCCACAGAGTAAAGTTCAAATAAATATTATTATTGGCTACTCCATTATGTTTTTGAGCTTGATGATTATGACTGTAGGAGGCAAAATAAAAAATACGGAGAGTATGTTAACCAAGTTTTAAAATTTGTTACAGTGAAAAGCACGGTGCCATCAGTTTCCCTCAAATACTTTTGATCACTTCCAACACACTTAAGTTCTGGATGTCGTCTGTTGTGAGCACCTTCAGTTATGCTATAGTGGGCTTGAACATTTACCTGTTATGTTAGTAGTTTTGACTTTGGGGATGAGCCAGAAGTCATACAGGGCCAGATCCCATAAAGAAGGTGGAGGCCGAGGCACTGTAATGCTTTTATTTGCCAGATTTGCCATCACTGTTAAGATTCAAGGCATTGAGGCAGCCATGAAAAGAAACACAAATGCGGGCTTATGGAGCTGCTATTGAAAATGGCAAGAGTCATGGGATAAGAGTGTGGGAAGCAAGGAGGAGTTTTTGAGGGGGATTAGTGGCACTCTCATCTTTTCATACTGTCATAAGTTGTTTGTGTTTAAACACTTACTGTGGGTTTAGTCATACCTTGTGGAAACAGACTGGCAGCACTAAATGGGACTGAGGTCGAGGTGAAAATGTGAAGAAGGGAGGAGTTTTGGAGACATTATTAGATTAGTACCGGAGCTGAGGTTTCTGAAACGATGACCTGGTTCCATGGGTGTCTTAGAGAATATCTGTGAAGATTTGAATTCCAGTCATGAGTAGATTTAAATCGGCAACTTGACATTGTCAGCGTTGCCTCACAATCACACAATCACTTGGAATCTGTGCAGCAGTCCTTCTCTTAAGTGAGGAGATGAACTTAACTGAACACTGGCATGTTTATATCTGGCCAGCCCTCGTGTGGCGGGTAGTTGTTATCCACCTCAAGCCAGCATTGTGCAAACAACTTCTAAGTATGTTTCAATATTGTGTCTATAAAATGCACCTGGCGTAATCAATCCTGTAATGCTTATCTGCCTCGAAACAGCTATTCTTTCTTCCTCTTCTTTCCACAGATAGGAATCATTTCATAACTACCTAAGATTTTAGTCATATTTGTGAATAGTTTTATAGATAAAATTTATAAGCTGTTATTACTAAATCTTAATAGGGACCATTCTTCAAGCCATTAACAGACCATTGATTTCTTCTTGAGAAATTACTAATTATTGTAAACTAAACCTTTTCCCAAAATATGACCAGAGCGTAAACTTTATCCAGATGATGTTTTGATGGCTTACTTTATTTGAATTTCTTCCTAATATTCATTAAAACATTAATATTTTGAAATACGGTTTAAAAAATCCTCTCAGTGATCTTTAATTTTATCTAATTTCTAGAAAGGTTTTTGTACATATGCTGCTCTGTTTTCCCTTAACAGGATGTTACAAATTTTTGGTTACATTATGAAGATTAATAGATTTATATTGATTATTTCACCCCAGGCCAGTGGTGGTGAACCTATGGCACATGTGTTGTAGGGAACTTTGTGTCATTGAGAATTCTGAAAGGTCCACCGTAGGCTGATAACTAAATTTGTCCTGTGGAGTCTTTTATTGACCTTTTTAAATGGCTCACATGTGTCACATTTGCATTGAAAGTTCTCATACACTTTTTCAAGATGATGAAAAGACATTTCATTATCCTCATAGAATAGCCCGGTGTTCTTGGAATTGAGTGCTTGCCATTATTTATTGCTGATAGCATAAATTACAGAATTTTAAATACTTACTTTCCTGGGTTTTTTTGAGTCTACTTATACTTTAGTGTGAACCTAAAAGCAGAGCTGATCTCTTAGTGAACTCCCAATGATGATGTTTTCATCCTATAATTTAAAAAGAAATACTTTTATTTCACCTTATTATAACCAAATAAAATACTTTTATTTCACCAAATTATAACCAATATACTTTTATTTCACCTTATTATAACCAACCACATTTAGATTCAGAATAGCATTATAATCATTCATTGCATTTAATCTTCATTTTTTGTATCCTTTTATATTCTCACTTGCTGTTTCAAGATGCTTTGAGTTTATTTCCTTTCTAGAATGAAATTATGAATAACATTGATAGACATTTTTATTCATACGTGAAAGTCCACAGGGATATTTTGAAAATAAAGTCTGGAATTGATCTCATCTAAAAATAACATGTTTAGGCTGGGGATATATCTCAGACATCACCTGCCTGGCAAGTCTGAGGTCATTAGTTCAATTCCCAGTATCAAAAAAATAAAAAATAAAAATAATGTGGTTAGAATTATTGTGTTGTTCACTGACGCTTAAGTAAAGCCAAATTGCCTGGACTTTCTTTGTTCAAAGCTTTTACTTATGTTCATTCATGTAACTTTCTCTCACCTATCTCATGCATTGTTTAATTGTCCATTATCTTCCTTCTTTTTTTCTCATTTATCCTTTTCTTTTCCTTTGTCCTTCTAGTTCATCTTAGCATGTCTCTTTTTCAAAATAGCACTTTTAATTTTTATTATACATGCAAATTGTTCTGCCATGTTTGCAATGGAAATCAGCCCGATTCCATCACCACTTCAGTTTCCCATCCCAGCTCTGAGACTGTAGATGTCTGTTGCTGTATCCCGCTGTGACTTGTGTGCGCTGCTGTCACTTTAATATTTTCCTATTATAATAGGCATTTATCTGTTGCTGCAATCTGCAGGATGGAGGTTCTGTCACTGTCACGTTCTGCGCTCTCCTTTTCTCACCTAGTCCATGCATTTCTCACCTTTCTTCTCAGTTTATTTATATCATATTTTGATGAGATGAATATATGAGATTTACACAATCTATAAATGTGTTTTATCTTTAAATAATGTGGTGTGTTATGGTTACTTTGCTTGCCTTTTTGTATTCTTATTGTTAATACTTTTATAAGTTTTTTTAAAGCTTTCTGTGTACTTATTACTAATTCTTCCTTAATCTTTCCCCAATCATGTAAATCTTATCTCTATATAGTCATACGTATCATATCATCATATCAGTTTTACTATCTTAAATATGTAGAGATAAACACTTTCACTGTACCATCATTAGTGAGAAATTTTCCTGTTAGGGTAATGTTAGAATAAAGTATCTGCAATCAGATATGACACTTAAAACTTCATAGTAATGTAAGTTATAATTTAATACAATACACAGTTTAAGAACCTTTTGTTATGTATTAACAAATTGTAGAGAGATACCCTTTTATCTACTACTTTTTCTAGAGAGCATTTTATGTTCACCAATTCTTAAATTGGGCAGATAATTTTTTTAAATCTATAAGTGACTAGATCAAATTATGTTAAATTCAGTTTTATGCCAGAAACATGAGGGAACAAATTACTAATTTTTTGAAAGTTTTGTTCTATATTTAGTTTGTCAAACTGTGTTGTTATTTATTCCCAGTGCATAATAGCTACTATAGCTTTTGGAATGGGCATTAATAAACCGGACATTCGCAAAATCATTCATTATGGCGCACCTAAAGAAATGGAATCCTACTACCAGGAAGTTGGTAGAGCTGGCCGAGATGGACTTCCAAGTTCCTGTCATGTACTGTGGGCTCCAGCAGACATTAACTTAAATAGGTAAAAACATTTAGTGCTTTTACCTTGTTGAGTTCTCTTTTTTCCATGAAAGGTTTTAAGGCACTGTCCTAAATTACATGTAGGTAATTTGCGAGTGTGTTTAAAGTCCCCTGCCAAATCCAACCCCAAACAAAAAGCAGAGGGTATCTGTGAAAACGTTTATGATAAGTGCTGCCACAAAGGGGAGATGACCTAATCTCCTGGCTCAGTTGGTATGTGGAATTAACTAAATCAGGGCTATTCTTTGGTAATCTTCACTGATATTGTATATCAGTGAACAAAATTTTTTCCTTAGATCCTATCAAGTTGTAATATGTTTTCAACCATAATTATTTCAAGTATTGTTTATTGTTGAGTCTTCTCATGTTACAATAATAAGTACTTATTCTAAGATTTTCTACCAGTCTCTTTTACATTCATTTCCTTGGTTAATCTCATGAGAGCATCCCATCTCTCTTCAACTATTGACTATAAAGCTATAAAACTATAAAAATTATTGACTGAATAATGTTATCATGTACTAACAGATTAGCATAAAAATACTGGTTAAGTGTTTAATTTCTGGGAAATTATTTTACTTACATACTAAATAGCTATTTTTCGACACTTAACTTCTTTGATATTAGAAAGGAAATATCAAAGAACTGGAAAGGAAAGCTTGCAAAAATTTAGAGGAGAATTTACCAATTCAGCCTTTCACTTAGAGAACAAAAACATCAGGAAAAGAGAAAAACCTATACATGTAACTTGCCAATATGAGGTTATTTTAAAAATATTTATCTTCATGTTGCTGAATAAATTCAAGTTTTCAGTGGATATATCATTTGTAATGAGTGAATACCTACTCAGTGCAGGTTTTGTCTTTATGATTCATCAGTGAGTTTTGAGTGTAGAATTCGTAGTATAATGGAGTTGATAGATCTTAATTAGAAAATCATATATTTGTGGATGTCTAGGGTTTGTTTTACTCTTCTCTTTTTGCATCTGAAAATTAAAGTGATCAAATTTTGTTACTAAGTGCATCATGCAAATATGTTTGATGGTGTATGTTAATATAAAAAAATTGAAACTTAAGAGCTGTGAAGGAAAATGTACTGAGTAGAGTACATAATGGCACATGATCTTTACCAAGTCGTAAAAGTTAGGTAAGGCTTTATTGAGGATACGATCGTTTAGGAAGTATCTGAAAGAATAATAGAAATTGATTAGATAAAAATATTTGCTATAAATTTTGTTTTTTCTAAAAGTGATCAGTAGCTTTTGCTTATTAACTTAAAAACAGTAAAATCATCTTCTCCTTACACAGAAAAATTCTTTTTCCTTTTTGACATCAATGTCTATATCAAGCTTTTTATGGATTAATTTAATATAATTGGCGTATAACACAGCTGTGTGTGGTCTATTAAATCTGGGATATAGCAAGTGTAAGTTGATTCCTACCAGTTCTTATTTGTGTATTACCCTCGTTGCTGAAGAAGTCATTAACAGCTTGAGTTTTTTATTGTGGCTTTATAGGTTCATCGATAACTATTTTCTGATTATCTGGGCATGCTAAGTGATAGTTTCATTAAGATTTAACAAGAAATAACAGTGATTAGTAATCATATATGGTGCTAGAGAAATTCATATAGTCAGTATATTGTAGTATCTGCAGGGTATTGCTTCTAGGATTGCCGGAGATGCCAAATTCTGAGGATATTCCCTTATATAAAATGGTATACTTACTGTTTGTATATAATATCTAGATTATTTATAGTACCTATTACAATGTAAATGCTTTGTAAGTAATTGTTTTACTTTATTGTTTAGAGAATAATCACAAGTAAAAAGTTTACATGTTCAGTGCAGATGCAAACGTTGTAAGCCTAACTGTATTTCTGACTTGAAGTTGGTTGGATCAGTTGCTGCTAAACCTTTGGGTATGGCAGGCCAGCTTCTTGAAATTTTCATATAGATAAGTTATTTTTTTATATCAGTCCTAAAGAAAAGAAAACTGTAGGGTAATCAAGGTAGACAGTTAAGCTGTTAAGCTGGATTTGTGTCATCCCTGGGATAAACTTTTTCTAGAAAAAAATGAAGTTTAAAAATAAGTGAGATTACTAACTCTCAGTTGAAATGGTTACTAATGGTTACTAATCATACATTAGATAATGTATTTTGTGATAAATATCAGTGACAAATGTGTTGAATCGTTATGTAACTGTTATGTAATTTTATTTCTATTTATTTTGTGATGCTTGGAGTTGAACCTAGGGCCTCTCCCCATGAGAGTCAGTTACCCTGCCACTGAGCTACTCTTGGAGTCCTTGTTGCATAATTTTGTATTTCTTATTGCAGAAACTACACCACAGGCAAAATCCCAATGCTGTCAGCTCTGTTATCTTAAGCAGTCAAACCTGATAGATAACAGTGATCCTTTTAAGAACAGATATGGTGATCAGATTTGCAAAATGATCTCAATTCAGTTAACTAGGTTTAACTGATTTCTATTAATGTTATTATTTTTAGAATTTTTCTTTTTTTAGCGATTTACAGTTTTTTTCTCAAAAGTGATGTGAATACTGATGAGATTATTTAAATGAAGTCACTCAAAGCAATTATAAGGATCATCTGAGAATGTAGGAATTTATTTTCCTTGTTAATGCTATCTCAGGAAGAGGTGAACTAAATAAGAACACAGTAAATAAAGCCAAAAACAATAAACAAACAAAATCCCCAAAACTCATATTTGCCTTGAGCCAGGAAGAGTGAGATGAGGCAGATAATAAACCTAGGACCTAGACTCAACACTTAGAAGAAATTAGGATGGGGTGCAGGTTACATAGAAGGGAATGGTAGTTAATAGCGTTCAATTACAAGAATGTTTCTGAGTAACAAATCATTTAGGTATTCCTAGAGTTCTCTGAGGATTGTTCAGGGATTATTTTGATCAGTCAGAAGGTTGAATAGAGCGTTTTGATTAGGATCAGTGTTAACACTTAGATCTTTTAAGTACTTCATTTTTAAACTTTTGTAATATCTGAAGAACAGTTCTACCCAGATTTTTATTTATTCTTAGAAAAGTATGCAAAAGTATTTGGATTCACAGAGTTTCTTCATAGAGAACTAGCAGTGAACAGTCAGGATGAGTTATTGCAGCCCTGACTTTTTAAAAAATGAACACATATTTTTAATGTTATTTAAAAATTTTAAAGATGTTGAGTATTTTGGCGAAAACATAGCATCAGTATAAATGCTTGAGGAAAAACTTAATTCTGATACTTTAATGCTGTCTTCAAATATCCCTCTGAAGAGTTTATACAGATTAAGGCTTATGCTGGAGCAGGGTGCCTGTTTTACCCACCATTTCTTATATAGATACTTTGAATTAGTCATAGAGAATAATTTCCTGGGGAAAGGTCATAATTCCTAGGTAACAGAAGACTTGCAAGCAGCCAAAACTGTGTCCTGGGAGGCACTGCTGGGAAGGGGTGCAAGAGAACTTTCTGGATGTAAAAGGAATGTTGATAGAAGAGTGGGTTTTGAAAAAAACTAATTAAAAAAATAGCAAAATTGCAAACAGTTTTAAATGATCCTGTGATATTTTTAATTGACAGGTACCGCTTTTTTGAGATACATAATGAAAAGTTTCGATTATACAAGTTAAAGATGGTGGCAAAAATGGAAAAATATCTTCATTCCAACAGATGTAGGCGGCAGTATGTATTTTTGCATTTTATATCAATTGATAGCATGGGTCCAAGAAAAAAGTCTTGTTATTTATTATGAGTAGTTTGAATGAGCATTATATAACATATGTCCTGAATTTTTAACCACTTACCAATTCAATTATGTAAGTACAAGATTACCAAAAACGCATTTTTTTGTTAATTTTTATAAAATAATATCACAGGAAATTTTCTGTGTATGATGTTTCCTAAAATATTCAATTAACACAATATTACAGTCTGGACAGTAGTATGTAGTCTTTGAATTCTTTTTGCATTATTGTCTTTGTTTAAACAACACACTTTGCAATGTTGGCCTTTCTTTTTTTTTCTGTGGGTGGTATGATTTCAATAAAATGTCCATGAAATATTATGATGAAGACGTTGATGATGGATGTCCTGATTGATGTTTCACTACCAGCTGTTTTTCAATTATTTGGTCTGTCAGACATAATCTAGATTGTAAATGACTTTTTGAACCCCCTTGTTTTGAATAAGTAACAAATGAATTCCATATTATTTGGTCCAGAAGGGGCATAAGTATTTTATAGTAGTATTTTTTCCTCACTTTTTGATTTTAAGGTAGATTGTTAGATGTTGGTCAACTCTGTCTATATCCCCCATAGAATTATTATAATCATTAAGCACTATTGGAATTTTTTTAGTTTCATTTCTCCTTTTAATTTTTATTATTTATATATTATGAATAGTTGACAATAAAGAGACATCTTTTTTGTCTTTCCATACAGACTTCCTCTTTGATATGCTAACATTTCTCCCCTTTTTTTCAGGTTTTTCTCTTGCAGCTCTTTTGGCACTTCCTTTCCGTTCAAACTTGGTCTCCCAAACATGTCCATTTTGTATTGTAAAAAGTATAACACTAGGTTCTGGAGAAGTACTAAAATTATATCTAATATACTTATGATAAGAGTTTTTATAGTTTATAGTGCAAAACAGTAGGTTATTTTTCACAAAATAAACAGATTTGTGAAAGAAAATAATCATAACTACTTATTAGATTTCACTAGGTACACAACAAAGGTGAATCCAACATTCTGAATTAAAATGTATGCAGAAAACTGTCGATATAAAACAAATAGACATACAAGTGTTTCTCATGCAAACAAGCATTGACTAGTTGAAGTGACACCTACCTGAGCGATGCTCAGTCTATACTGTTGACTGGGATAAGGCAGCTTTATTTGTGCCTAGGAAATAGAACTCAGATACTGTGTTGAATACCAGGTAAATCAATTAAAGATGGTTTCACCTCATTTTTAGCACTGAATTTTGCATATGCACATTTATTCTTTTATTAATTTTAAATTTTCTCTTGGATAGGATCATCTTGTCTCATTTTGAAGACAAAAAACTACAAAAGGTCTCCTTGGATATTATGGGAACTGAGAAATGCTGTGATAACTGCAGGTCCAGGTAAAGATTTTTTTCTCGTGAGTGCTCTAAAAGCCTTTCGTTTTTCTTCTTTTTTCAGATATATTTAATTGAATTTTTGTTGAAGGATTTTTTTTTAAACAAAATAATGAATTTATTTAAATTTAAAAAGAAAACAGTTTAGATTATTTTACTTTTTTACAATGGAAAATAAAATGGTGGGCCCAAATTCAAAGATATCAGTAGTTACATTAACTATAAATGGTCCAAAAATATCATTTAAAGGCATAAATGATAAAAGTTGACTTTTAAATGTGACTGTATCTTACATGCTGCCTTAAGAAATCCACTGCTCAGTGGTCTAAGTGCATGCTTGGCAAACGCGAGGTCATGAGTTCAAGCCCTGGTACCGGAAAAAAAAAAAATCCACTGCATTTATAATTACATAGTTTAAAAAAGAAATAATATGAAAACACTAATTGCTGTTTTCATATTGACAGTGGAGAAGAAAGAGTGTTACCAGTGATAAAGAAAGACATCGTGGGATGTTAAAGAGTCAGTTCGGCAATTTATCAGTCAGGGTTTTCCAACAAAACAGGAACAGTGATTGTGTGTGTGTCTATGTGTACGTGTAGTGGGAGAAGGAGGAATGGTTTGATAGAACTGATTTTGAGGAACTGGTTTAAACAGCTGTGGACGTTGGTTATCTTAAATTTTTTAGGAAGGTAGCCCGTAAACTCAGGCAGGAGTTTATGTTGTACCTGTTAGACTGAATTCCATCTCCAGCTAACCTCAATTTTTGCTTTTAAGGCTTTTGGATGAGAGTCATCCATATTATTGAGGGTAATCTTCTTTATGTGAAGTCAGATGATTGTGAATAGTAATCTCATCTATAAAATACTCTTGCAGCAACACTTAGTGTCCGACCAAATAACTGAGGACCAATGCATAATCAAGTTGATACATAAATTTAACCATCACAATCAAAAGGATATAATCTTAATTGTATATACACTTAACAAAATAACTTACAGTGCCAAAAGGAGAAATGGAAAAAGCCACAATTATACTAGATGATTTCAGCAACTTCTTTAGTTACCAATAATTAGTAGACAAAAACTGAAAGAAAAGTGTAAAGAACCGTTTGACAAACTGCATCTTTTTAATTTTTATAGAAGAATCCATGTAACAGCAGCAGAGTAAACATTCTTTTTCAAGGCATGTGGAACATTTGTGCAATGTAAATTTCTAGGTCATAAAACCTTAAAAATTGAGAAGTATTCTATTTGGGTAAAGTATTATTTTAGAATAATGAAAATAAGCTAGAAAGCAATAATAGGAAGACAAGAGAGAAATCTCCAAACCATTGGAAATTAAATAACACATTTTAAAATAATCTGTGAATCTAAGAGGAAATCTCAGAGGAAATCAGAAAATATTTTGACCTGTATGAAATAAACACAAAAATACGTAGGATACTGCGGAAAAAACTCATAACATTAAATACTTACATTGTAAAAGAAGATAGGTTTCAAATCGGTCGTTAAACTTCTACCATAAGAAACAATCCTCTGCTATTGAATTATATTCATTGTACTAAAGTCTAGTTTCTGTGTCACTCTATACGCTCCAAGTCATGGCTCTCTTCACCTAGTTTTATGTCTTTGGTTTGTGAGGTACCCCACCCTTCTCGAGTTACCTCTGTCTGTACACCCCCAGGCTGTGCCAGAGTATATCCAAGATCCTGTTGGTAACTGGGGAAAGCCAGCAGTCTACTGAGGTTGGAGCTGAATGTAGGTACCATGGTAGAAAGGTCGAGCAATCTATTGGACTTAATGCCAGCACTCTGAAACCCAGCCCTCTCCAACAACCACTCATGACTGGCTTGGCTTCTCAAGTTGAAAGGTTGGATTGCCTTGTCCTTAACTAGCCTGAGCCTTAACTTCTCTGGGGGTTTATGTCTAGCTTGCCCATTTTTTGTGACTATCTCTTGTGGCCATTTTCCACCCAGCTACTATTGTAGGGTGATCCCAGAAACCCAAAAATGCAGTTGTTCTGTAGATCTTCTATTGCTCAGTCTTAAAACAACCCCCTTCTAAAATAGCTCCTGATAAAACAGATATAGTGGGCACTCCAACTTGAGTCTGCCATACAAAAGGAGTATACTGTTAGAGTAAAACCCCATGCTGGTTTTGTATTGTTTAATGACCTTGGACTTTTCTTGGACCTAGTACTGCTGGCCAGATCCATTTTCTCTCTGGAGCTGGTGATTGTCTTTGGGAATATCTTGTATTAGCAGAGACAGGTACCCTTCCCTGGGAGCCAGATGAGCTTTTCAGGCTGCTTTGTCCTTTTTTCTGCATTGTGCTCAGTTTTTCTAGCTTCTCTGTCATTTCCCAGTTTTCCTGTCAGTTCCTTCCTAATTCTCAGAGAGCTCTTTTTTTAATTTTTTCTTTACCAAGATCTTATTTTCCAGTTACCTCTATTCTAGGTCTTAGAAAGGCTGTATTTTATTGATAATGTTACTCTGCTATATCCCGGTTTTGGTGAAGGTTAGATATAGCTGCATAGTGCCTATAAACATGTTAAAATGTGTAGAACTTTACAAAAATACATTGAATTTAATTTTGTTTATTGAAAATAAAACAAATGACATCTACTTGGGTTAGCTGTACATCTGAGTATAGTAATTGTATAACTGTAATGTAAAAGATATGTTATTAGGGATGGAGGCATTTCTGTGTAATGGTAAATGGTTTTTTACCAAGAAGCTATAATTGTTTTGTGCACTAAAACAAAGCAAAACAAATACTTTACCCAAATAAAGTACAAAATGACATGAACTAGAAGAAATCAATAACCAGTGTCATAGTGGGAGAGTTTGATATTATTGGTAAGCTAAACAGCCAGAAAATTTGATCAGCATATTAACAAATTTTACTTATGAGATATGTGGTGTATAGAACTTTCTCCCAAACAATTCGAGCAATATATTTCAGTGTTTTAGTTCATGACTTACATGGCAAACAGTTACTATTTGTGTAGCATACTGGGCTAATCGTCAAAGTCCAGGTTTTTTCTAGAGTCCTAGGGTCTGGAATAATTAACTTTTTGGTACACCTAGGATGTATTTGCAGCATTCTGATTAGGAAACACTGAATGAAAACCTGCATTTCTAAAAAATACCTGGAGAGTTTATGAATATTGATTATGTATTAGATCAGAGGTGGCAAACTGTGGGTCAGCTTTCAATTTTCTTGGAACACAGCCATGTCTTTTTGTTTATTGTGGCTGCTTGAATTAAATAATTATCTACAGATCCTGTTGTGATCCACTAAGCCTTAAGTATTTACTGTCTGGCCCTTTATGCAAGAAGTTTTCTGACTTCTATACTAGACTATAGCTTGTTTCAAAAAATTTCAATGAGTTGTTATCCAACTCACCACATTCTCTGACCAGATGTGATTGGTTTAGAAATAAGTAAGCAGCTAAAGTAATTCATCTGAAAATTAAAGAAACACTTTAAAATAACTTAAAAATAAAACTGGAAATGTAAAAAACTTTTAGAATACTGTGATAATTTCAATAATATATATTAAAACTGGTAAAATAGTACTTTGTAGGCATTTGGTAGCTATACAGTTTCCTGTTTGAAGAGAATATCAATATCAACTAGGAATTTTACTAAACAGGTTACAGAAGGAGAATAAAATTGAATGTATTGGGTTATTTTATCTGAAATTTTAAAATATTTGTATCGACATTTCAGAGATAATTTATTTGAAGGAAAGCAATTGGATTAGGTATTTTAACTGTATTTATTTGATTTTCTTTAAGAATTCTTTTGTTTTCAACGTAAAGAATTCTCATTTTTATTAATGATAATTTGAAATCTACTTGAAGGATGACTTAGAATTTTAAATGTTCCTAAATGAAAGATTTATAATCTTTATGTCATATTTCATAGTCATTAAGATTTAAAGTAGCAATTTACTGCATAGGGAATTTGCTTTTTTAAATTTGAAATTTTATTTTTTGCAGTAACCTCCTCCCTTTTTCAACCATACCTAACACAAAGGTATAATATGTAGTTGATCAAGGGCTGATGTTCTACCTGTGATCCTGCATCTCTGCTCTCTTGAACCTGGCTTCTAGAGCATGAGAAGAGAATTATTAGCATAATGTTCTATAATGATAATTTTTTTTTCATGGTTTAGGTGTTTTACATACTCTTGGCTGTAATAAACTTCGTAGTTTCTGAAACAATTGGTACCTCTTAGATAATCGAGCATTTGGCACTTTTTGAGACAAGTGTTACATTAAATCATTTAATTCTAAAGGTACATACCTTGTCTATGATTTCTTAATATTTTATCTCTTTTATAGATTGAATCATTGCCATTCCATTAGTGATTCAGATGATACATCACAAGACTTGGGTCCACAAGCATTTCTTCTGTTATCAGCTGTGGACATCTTACAAGAAAAGTTTGGAATTGGGATTCCAATTTTATTTCTCCGAGGATCTGTAAGTATAACTGTGATTGACCTTAAAGCTTTTTTTTTTTTTTTTACTCTGCTATACTTTCTTCAGTGTTAGGAATATAGCTTTGTCTGCGACTCTTAAAAAAACTCAGAGAGTCATATTAAGTTCCAGTTAAACACACTGTTCATTACTTTAGACAAAACTTGTATGTATCATGTCTCCTGCTGTTTTGCTATTCCAAGCTAAGCCCTGAATCTTGGTCTGGAAACATTATACTGGTTTATCACATTACAGTTGGGTAAATCCTTTGACTGGTTTTTCTTAGGATAATTAAAAAAAGTTAACTTTCATTGTGTCAAGGGACTAGTAGAATAAAATTATGTCTTTTGGCACCTAGGAAACAAACTGTTTGAGGAGAACATTAATTTCAGGAATTATTTGATAAATGGTTAAGTTCAATAACAATATTGATAGGACCTTTTTTCTCCCCATTTCTTACTAGAACTATTTAAAATTTTAAGGAAGTTTTTTCCCTATTACCAATAAATTAGTTACTTTAACTGCCTTTTTTTTTTTAAAAAAGAGATTAATTGTTCTAGCATTATGATAACAAACTACAGAAAGAAATATGACCCACCTAAAACAGCTTTTTTTTTTTTAAGTCCGTGTGTATATGATTTCATTATTGATTTGGAAGCCTATAAAGCAAAGCTAATTGATTCACATGATTAGTATTGGTTAAACGAACCAAACATGGATGAAAAGATACTTTGTAAATATAAATGTTTGTTAGTAATATTTTTAAAATAATTTAAGATTATTATTTTATATGTAGAATTTAAAAAATCATTTTAGGTAAATACTTATTCGTTAAATTCCGAAGTGCTCCATGTTGGTATATTTTGAATGTTTTGTTTAGAAAACATTAAATTAGCTGAGAATTATCTTCAATGAAATATATTGGAAACATGTTAATTTTTCAGGTACCACTTTTTTCCTTTTTGGCTTTTTCTTTTTGGCCTAGGAATTCAAACCTAGCTGCAATGCTATTTTTACTTTTTATTTTTGAGATACCAAAACTTTAGTTTAAAATCTTGTTCTTCAGTTGATTAGAAATTCAGTAGTGGACTTGTTGTTTAAAGAACTTTGTCTTATGTTCTATGACTGATATTATGTATTATAAAAAAAATGTTAGATTGCAGGGATCAGCTTAAATACAGTTGACATCTGGAAAAATTTCTTCTTTGTCACACTCAAAACCTGTGTATCCCAGTTGGACGTTCAGTTTGTAAAAATTATTCTTGTTTTAATTCGATATAATCTAGCCATATCCAGTATCAACAAATAAGTATAAGTGGGCTCCTAGAAGAACTTGAGGCAGTCACAAGAGGGATCGGATTTCACCTATTATTTGAAAACCAAGTCAGACTTCTTATACTGAGTCTTCTGGGAGTCTTCAAATTAAGAAGTTTATCCTTTGTGAAATTTTATACTACCCTTGCTATATAAAAGTGCAAAACTTTTTAAAAAAGTACCACTTAATGAAAATTTGTGTATACTAACTGCAGTGAAAATGAGACATATTCCTCCCTTCAGTGATCATCATATCTGTTGGGATATTGTTTTAAAAATTAAGATTTTAATTCCTTTGAGAATTAGCAAATATTCCCCTTAACTAATTTAAGACAAATTTATATCTTTGTAGATAATTTTGACTCATAAAATGATGTGTCTTAAACTGTGAACTACTCGTGTTTTTTCAAAAAGAAATAATATATAAATATATGACATAGTTTCAGTAATACATGATTCTACTCTTATAGGAGTATTTAGAAAAGTAGTATGCAATTATACAGCTTATTCATAAGTTTATGAGTGGAGTTTAAAATTTTGTGTCCAGGCACATGCATGATTAGTTATTAAACAATAAAACTGTTACTAAAGATTACCTGTGTAATTAGCTCACCATCTAAAAATCGTTAAACACCTTGTGTGAATATGTGGTAAGATACACATGGCCTTAACTTTTTAAATTAGAAAACAAAAGCATGATCATTACTTTGCATACTGGGTAAATTAAGTATAATACCTTTTCTCATCACTTCTAGCAAAGTGCAAAGCCTTATCACAGCCTTGATATCACATAACACTTTTAATTAAAAATTTTATTCAATTAATTGATTTTAATTAATTAATTAATGCAGGATCTCACTAAGTTGCCCAGACAGGCCTTGAATTTCACTATCCTGCCTCAGCTTATTGTGTAGCTGGGATTACAGGCCATATCAGCATGCTCAGCTCAAATAATACTTTTTTTTTTGGTCTTTTTTGAGATGGGGTCTCACTATGCAGTTCAGGCTGGGCTTGAGCTCACTTTGTAGCCCAGGTTGGTCTCGAACTCACAAAGATCCTCCCATCTCAGCTTCTCGAGTGCTGGTATTACAGGTTTGAGCCACCATGCCTGGCCAAATAACGCTTTTGATAAAAGATTTTTTTAAACTAGAAAAAGCTATTGAAATTCTTGATAGTTTTAATTTCCCACTATAATTTTCAAAGAATCTAATGGGAGAAGGCTTTCCATATAATTTTCAAACAAGGTATTTCATATGATTGAAATATTTTTCTAAAGACAATTATTTTTACTCTATCCTCCTCCGATTTCATTTTGCATGTAGAATAAATAGCTCAAAGTGACTCTCTGAAGCCCCAAAGTGGCAGCTGTGGGCTTCTTGTGCCTGTAGGAACTGGGAAAGGGAGAGAAAAAAGAATAGTTGACAGAAACTACAGGGTTGGTTTTATACTTAAAACTTAGAAACTTAAAACTTCTTGAGTTGTAGTTTTTTAAAACAGAAGTTTTATCACTTTCTTAATAAAGATCCACCCTTCACAATTGTGTCTGAATAAGTAGTTTTTAAAAATTATAGCTCACATACTGGCCCATCTTATTATTATTACCTTTTAACTATTTGGTTAATTTTGCGTGATTGTGCCCATGATATAGCCCATTTTAATAGACATTTCCAACCAATAAAATGAAAATTAATTAAGGGATTGCAGCTGTTTTTAGGCTGGAGAAGTGTACTGCAAGGTGATCCTATATACAGAATGTGCAGACTTCATATCAGTGACTTTCATTTGTTGGAGCTAAGTGTTGATGTATATTGAGTTGGAGTTTGTAAGTTTTTCCACTAGCAGTTAAACATCTATTTTTGTGTAAGGCACAATATGGTTGTATTTTGGTGATGATCCAGAGCTAAATTAAATGAGACTTACCATCTAGTACAGAAGATGTTAGGAAGAAAAAAAGTGTAATATACAGAAAGAGATAAAGGACATATGAATAGAATTGAAGCATTATTGAAGTTCTGAAGAGAGCATGTGTCAGGGAATTAGAAAAGACCTTGTGAAAATATCACTTTCTTTCTGTTTAGTTGGGGACATGGTAGATTTTGGCAAGGTACACTTGATTTAGACATTTAGAGATGAAATGAGATATAAGAAAATGTTATTCCCAGTGAAAAGAATTACTACAAAAAGCAATTGTGATTTTTAAGGAAAATAATTGGAGAAGTGTCAAGCTTTTTCTGCCCTCTAGGAACGGTATTGTCTACATAGTGATTATCATGGAATCAAGACAATATTAATTTTTTCACATTGAACATAGTGTTAACAGTGAATATTGATCATAAAAAGCATAGTCGTTCCCTGCTAATTAGGCATCCTCAATGTTTCATACTAGTAAATGTGCAGATTCACTTCAGGTTGTTTTCTGCTGAGGAAAGGAAGAGTTGTAATTTTTGTTTGTTTGTTCGTTTTTTGCTCTTTTATTTTTATCGGTATCGGGGATCGAACTCACGACCGCCTGCTTGCAAGGCAGGTGCTTATGTCGCTGAGCTAAACCCCCAGCCCCTGAAGAGTTGTAATTTTAGAAAGCAAGTAAGTTATAATTTGGCAACTCAGTATTTTGGTGTTGCTAGTCTGCAAGCAGTAGAATCTCCCATTCCAGCTACAAAGGTAAGTAAGCTCTGAGCAGTGCACAGAACCATGAGCAAGCCTTCCAGGGATATTGACTAGATGCTGTCAGGTTAAGAAATTTAGGGTTAGTCAAGGTTTCAGTTGTTAAGTAATAAAATGAAATTACTGAGCCAGGCTTTGACCTATTTTTTTTAAATACAGTAATGTATGTTAATAAAAGTCTAAATAGCAAGGATTAATTATTCCAGCCCCATATCTAAACCTTGTAAATTGGGAAAACCACTATGAATTATATATCCGACTTTCTGCCATTATTTAAAACAAAAAGAACATAACACTCATTATGTGTGATCTGATATTCAGAACAAGTGGAATGGGCATAAAGTTTTTCTAAAGTTTTAAAGGTAGGAATGGTAATACATACCTCTAATCCCAGAATATGGGAGGATGAGGCAGGAGAAGGATCACTGTGAGTTCAAGGACAACCTGGGCCTCACAGTGAATTCAAGGCCAGCCTGAATTCATTTTCTCTCTCTCTCTATACACACACACACACACACACACACACACACACACACACACACACGTCTTTATGCTTGCCAGGCAGGCATGCCACTGAGCTGTATCCCCAACCCTTAAAAACTTATCTAAAATACATATATGTGTGTGTGTGTGTGTGTGTGTGTATTTATTGTTAAATCCAAAGACTAAGTAGATGAATTTATGTTTACTTAGCCTTTTTATTCAAGTATTTTTAGATACTGAGTTTTATTCCTAATTTCAGAGTTCTCAGCGTCTTCCAGATAAGTATCGTAGACACAGCCTTTTTGGTGCTGGTAAGGACCAAACAGAGAGTTGGTGGAAGGCCTTTGCCCGTCACCTCATGACTGAAGGATTTCTAGCAGAGGTTCCTGGTAGTAGCAGATTTATAAAGACCTGCACCCTTACAGTGAAGGTAAACACAATAAAAATCTATGTATTTGACATAATTTTTATTGCCATGTATTAAGATATTTCTTGCCTTTGTCAGGGTAGGAATTGGCTTGTTAAAGCCAGTACAGAATCTCCTCAGAGACTTATACTTGAAGCCAGTGAAGAATTGTGTCCGAAGAAGAAGTTCCTTCTGCCAAGGTTCATTTATCAGTTCATTTATCTTTTTTCCTTCCTACTTCTGTTTTGTTTGTTTGTTTGGTTTTGTTTTTGGTGGTTGTTGCTTAAATGATTCAAATTATAGTATTTTATAGGTACCACACAAGTAAAGTCTGTTGCCTGCTTATTTTTCATACTTATTTTAGTCAGTTTGGAAGAAAGGCTCTCTGTGAAAAAGATAAATCACAAAACCATTCTTGGTTGAATGCTGAAGAACTCATGTACTAAGTTTCTTTCTTTTATAGGGGAGGTGGGAAGGAAAGATGCCGTTGGGTATTTTTTAGTACCTTACACATTATTGATCAATTGTTAATTTTTTTTCTTTTAAAGTTCTTCCTTTATGGGAAAAGAAATTAGTTTTAAAAATTGTCAGTGCTAAAAGGGTAAAATAATCTCATCTACTTTCTGAGTGTGGGTATGTGATGATTCACAAATTAGATAACTGCATTTTAATACCAGAAATAATTTAATTTTTCTATTTTTCAGTTCTCATACTGTATCTTCAGGCATTGAACATCATCCCTCTAATCAAATTCCTATTCGATTAACTGCAGAGGTTTGTGTTAAAGAGATGGTTCTTATTTCATTCTTCCTTGATGCAACTCTTGTTTAAAAATTTAAATTTTAAATCCTCTCCAATTTAAGGGGCTAATAGCACATGTAATATATCGTAAATTAGAAAGAGAAGTGCTATGAGCAAAGTATAAAATACTTCTTTACATAATTTCTGGAGCTAATAGAAAAATTGATAGTATGTGAGAAAGTAACTTACTTTGATTCTTTTAAGCCTTCTTTGTAACTCATTTGGCTTGGATTTTTCATGCATTATGATACTTATAGTTGACAGAAAAATAAACCTATTCCTGAATATTCTCTTCTGAGCCACACATGTACATGCATGTGCCTGTGTTTGCTGTCTTGTTCTGTTGGGAATCTGAGGAAATGGATTAAGTACCTAACTACAGGCAGACCTGAGCTAGTTAGAACATGAAACATGGACAAATGTGATAAATTTCTGTCCAGTTTTTCTGCTTCATTAAACTGTGCAGAATGTAATTCACTCAGTTTTATAACTTGGATCTTGCTGTGTATCAGAGCTTTCTTTTGATCATCTATATTTATGGCTTAGGGAGGAAGGGGACTTGGAGGTATATTTTCATCTGCCTATAAGGTCTTAGTAGTGATGCCTTATTTTTCAGTTGATTTATTTGATGATCTGGTTAATTAGTGGGAAAATTGTAACTATGAGATTTTGTATCTTTTTTCCTTAATACTTAAGTTTTTAAAAAAACTTATTTTTAATGGCCCTTTGTATGTTTAAAAGCAGTCTAATTTGGAGAAGATGTTTTCTTACAAAGCGAATGATAAAATTTCTTCTGGGATCAGCATTCCTAAAAAAAGGTACAGTGTTCTAAGTTTTTATTTTCTGTGTCTCTGCTATCAGCACTATTTTCCTTTCTTTTTAAAGAGAAATAACTGTCAATATTTTGGTATAATTTATTAGCAAAACAATTTTAAAGTGTATCTAGTACTATAATTGTTAAAGCAGGGACATACGGTGATATTATTAATAGGGAGCACTTCTTGGCATTGTTCTTTGCCAGGTTCTATGTTAAATGCTAAGTATTTTATATGTAATATTTCATTTAATGCCTACATCACCTGTTGAGTTGCTATATTACTAATTTGAATTCCATAGTTAAAGATACCAAGGTTTAAAATGTAAACTATTTGATTCAAGAGCACACAGCTAATGGCAGAGCTGGCTTTCAGAGCTATATTTGTCTAAGTTTGTTTGAAATATCCATTCCCACCCTATTTTCAGAACAAGTATGATAACATAAAATTTTAAATACAAAAATTGACAAGAGGATCAAGGCAGTATAGTTAATGTGTAATTAAGCTTACTGTTTAACTTGATGACTTAATAAAAGGGGAGAAACTATGTAGAATTCCAGAGGTTTGTGGCTGGAAAACTTGAAAACCATGCCAGGGCTCCATTATGTTAATGGACCATGTTTATATTCTCATCAGGTCAAAGTAAATGAATGTGCTTTCAGACTGGAATGCATTTTCGATGCTTTGCTCACTTAGATAATGCTAGTTTGGATCTGACAAAATATTTACCATAATATCAGTTAAATAATTTTTGTCTGGATATATACTATTACTGTGGCTTTATGTAAACAAAACATTTGAGGTGTGTACAGAACAGTGTATCCATTCATTATCCTGGAGTGTGCCCTCATTTAAACTTCTACTATGCTTTTACTAGGCTGCTTTTTTAGTACCAGGGACTATTTTAGACAGTGGGATTAAGTGAAGAATATTCAGTCACTGGCCCTTTGGAGGTCTGTGTAACACAGAGGACATAAAACTAAAATTCAAGCTATAATAGTTTAGCAAAAAACAGAGGAAAAGAAGTGACACTTGAGGCTTAAGTGGATGTTTGTTAGGTGATATGAGGGGAAGTTTACTGAAGTAGAAAGTGGTAAAACGTAAGCCTCAAGAATTACATAGGAGCCAAAATATCTAATTCTTCCAGGTACTGGAAGAAATTAATCATAAAAGGAGTAGGGAGTTAAAGAAGAATTTTGAGCAAAACAGTGGTATGATCACAGTTCTAATTTCAAACAGTTGACAGATTTGTTGCAAAGAATCAGATAGCAAGAAGAGACGGAGAAAATACAAAGAATTAAGGTATATTATGTACATGTACCAATATATTGGGGTGAAAAGTAATCCTTACAAACTATAAGCATGTACATAAAGATAAACAATTCAGACAGTATTTTAGGTGTTGAGGTCCTTTGTTTGCCCCTGCAGCCTCAAAGCACTCATAGATAGCATGAAAATGGGTGCTTATGGTTGTGTTACAACAAAACTTATGTACAGTAAAGCTTGAATTTCATGTAATTTAACAAGCCACAATTTTTTTTTATGTAAAAGTGTAAAAAACATTATTAGGTTGAAGGGAGGGTAGGGGAATGGGAAAAAATGTCTTGTGCACAAGTACAAATCCTCTATGATGAATGTGATCATTATGCTTATCAAAAATGTACCAATAAGATCAGATTGGAAAAAATACTAACCTACAGGTCTGAAAAAACAAATCTGACCTATGGACTCTAGGATGCCAATTCTTGATTGGCTGCTCTGCTGTGGAGAGAATTGTAGAGACTGTTTGAAGGAAGTGATTGTAGCATAGTTAAAGAAAATAACAGAGGACGTGGAGAGAAAAGGACTTCTGGTAGAACATAGAATTGTTGGGAGTTGATATTTGAGAAAATAGGTGGGTTAAGGAAAATAAGAGACTTGAAGATGACTTTAAATTTCTATTTTTGAATGCTTGAATGTAAGAACGTTGCCATTCTCTTTGTCAGGCAACATAGGGGAAGCCTAGGTTGGAGGGCTGGGATGATTAGAGGGTGAGCTTAGGGGCATGATAAAACATAATGAGTTTGGGATACTTGTGGAATGGTCAAGAAATTAACTTAAACACGTGCGTTCAATGTATAGAAATGAATGAAATGAACTGTTACCTTAAAATTCACTAAAATTTTCCTTAAATAAGACAAGTAAAAGATCAATTGGTACTTGCAGGCTTACAGCAAAGCACCCTAGGCCACACCCTTCTCACTCACTCTGTTCTGCTCTATGCAAGCAAATACTTGGATCTTGCTACTGAGTTTTCTGTTTACTGACTCCATACTACTAATGACATACTGAACTACTGTTTACAAAAAATTTTTATTAATTTGCTCTATGTTAGGCTTCTTTTCTTTCAGTCCATTCAACGTAATAATATTAAAAGTTTTGGTCATATTAATAATTTGTTTCTACATTTTAACTACACAAATAATGTTTACTACTAAACAAACTGTGTTACTATCGCTGACACTAACCTTTATTTCTCCCAAATGTTAATCATTCTTTTTCCCTGTTTTGGTTGACACTAATATTCCTTTTTATTAATTTTTCTTTTATTTCAGTCTTCTTTTTTTCGTTTGCTCTCTGGGAGAGTCCCTTTGCTTTCTATCATCTCCCACCCAGGGAACATTAATTTAATACTATCAAATTTTTAATTTCTAAGAACTCCTATTCCCTGCTTGTTTCTTTAATTACGTATGTCTGTTTTTAATGGATGTAGTATTCTCACTTTTTTCTCTGATTATTTTAGCCATTTCAAGCATTTGTGGTAGCATTTGTAAATATTCATATTATTTATATTATATTTTGTACCTTGAGTCGAACTCAAGACCTCGCACTTGCTGGGCAGGCACTATACTGCTGAACAATAAATATATCATTGGCTCAGCATCCATATTTTTAAATGAACTTTTCTACATATATTTTTGCCTCAGGAGTATTACCAAGAATTTTGCTAGCATGTATAGTAATAAAATTTCTTTCTGCAAAATAATATAAAAATCTTTTTTTCAAGTAGTATATTGTTATAAAACTTTTATAAATACTAAGATAATGATCAACATTTAATTTAAAATAAATTTATTCTTGTTTTTGTGAAGGGAGAGGCTTGAGCCAGGTTTCCTCTGTAATTCAGGCTGGCCTTGAACTCCCTATGTAGCCCAGGCTGGTCTGGAACTTTGGGGGATCCTTCTGCCTTAGTCTCCTAAGTGCTGGGATGACAAGGGTATGCCACTATGCCTGACATTACTTTCTTGATTAACCTGATATTACTAATTCTTTCAACTAGTGTTTTATTTTCTTCAGGCTAACGTCTGTTTATTTCAGTGATAGGATTTGATTTAATTGTGAAAATAAAACAGTTTAACACCAAGGTTTCTGAATTTTTAAAATTATAAATATTGCTTTTTTTCCTTTTCTTTCTTATTTTTCATTCTTTTCTAGTCCTTAGGCTTAAAACCAGGCCTCATGGATTGTAGGCAAACACTGCCACTGAGCTATTTCCTCAGGCCTACAAACATTTTTTCAGTTGCCACTGCAGCCTCAAAGCAGCCATAGATAGTATGAAAATGGATGCTTATGGTTGTGTTACAACAAAACTTATGTACACTAAAGCTTTGTCTTTTTTGGGTGGGGTGGAGGAACTAGGAATTGAACTCTAGGCCTTGAGCTTACCAGGCAGGTGCTTGTGCCACTGGGCTATATGCCACCCTTTATTGTCAAGAAGCAGAAATTTATTTAAATTTGATGTCTTTTATATAGACTTTTATATAATTCCATTTTTATAATTTTGTATTTACAGTTCATTTATTGATGAGAAATGCTTTTTGTAGAATGTCTACTTTGTTGCCCTAGCATCTTTTTTTTAAACCATATTTATTAATTGGGTGTATTCTGTCCTTTTGAGGAGTTCAAAACAAAATTTCTTCCTTTTTTTTTATTTAAAGAGAAAAAAGATAGGAAATAAACAAAGCAGTAAAAGGGTATAAATAATACAGGATTTCAAGAAAAAAATATACATTAAGAAATCACTAGTTAATAGGCCACACACCGTCATCCTAGAAACAGTTGTCCAAATTACAAAATTAAAGCATATAAAGTGGACATTCATACAGTGAGATTGCAGAGAGTTCCGTTCAGTGATCCAACAAAAGCTCAGTAATACGGTTTTCCATCCTACACACTCAAACATACATGCAGTTATATCCCTTAGACTACCTTCCTTTCCTCTCTTTTTTACAATGACAGTTACACTTTTTGGTTTTTTTACTCCCACAGTTCTGATTACTTTTTTTTTTTTTTTTAAGAGAATAAAATCTAACGTGACTAAACAAAACAGAGTCGGTTAGAACAGAAGGATGGGCATAGTACATGATTTCTTCCTTTTTAAAAAAATATTTATTTGAGTGATTTTGAAAAAATTTCTGAATACTTTTACTTTTGCTAATATTTCGCACCAACTAAAAATCAGTAGTTTTACAGGAGAAATCATAGTTGTATCTGTATTGCTGGAAAATGTTATTTAGTGGATGGGAATTATTTTTGTTCTCAGCATTTGGTTGAGGAGAAGGGACAGATGCTTTCCCCAAACATGCCAGTATTTTGTAGTACTTTACCATTATAATAAATAAATTTGATCCAAAAGGTTTAAAGTCTATTCTATTGCATAGTTAACTTATTGGTAGTGTGAAGAATAAATGTTATTCTGGGAAAAATATTCTCATTTTGGAGTTGAAATTTAAAAAAAAACTAGGAAAAGAAAAAAGTTTGGTTATGTATTTCTTTAAATATTTTAGTATCATGACGCAGTTACCAGGAAACACTTATGGATCCTCAGGAGCTGTTATTTCAGCCCAGGAGCAAAAGACCCAGGTAAGGCTTTTGTTAAAAGGGAGTTAGTTTATCAGAGGATAGTTAGTACTCCTTGCCTACTTAAAATTCTGTAGTATTTCAAAACATTATTCTTTTGCTAAGAAACTGAGATAAAATTCAGTTTATTTTCATCTAAACGGAAATTATAATATCTGATGGGCTAAAAATAAAGATTGAATTCTAAATACATGAAAATAATGTGCTCAATTGTTCTGTGTTTTTTGTTCAGACTGTATTGTATGGCAAATTAGTAGAAGCTAGGCAGAAACATGCCAATAAAAGGGATGTTCCTCCAGCTATTCTGGCAACAAATAAGTTACTGGTGGATATGGCCAAAATGAGGTAAGCTCTCGCTTTGTGTATATTTTGTCTGTTTTCCTATAACAGAATAGACCTGTAAAATTCTCATGTCATAATAATGTGGCCGTGGCTTTTTTTGTCACATGTGGAGCTGACTCCCAATTCCCCCACAGTGCTTTGCAGATCTCTTTGCTGAGTTTTAGTCTCATGTTTCTGCATGAGTGAAATCATGTTTTCAGCAATCAAATTATATATAAGATCAATTTCTTCATCCATTCATCCTCTAAACATGCATTTCATCCAACCACTAAAACTTTCTGGAATTCCTCATTTTTAAAGTTGTATTACTATGTTCTTAATGACACATGTTTAAAATCTGATAGTTATCACATTTCTAACACATATTCTCTTCTTCCTCTTAGTTGTTTTAAAATTTTATTTTAAAGAGAAAAAAGAAATAACAGAAAAATTAAGAAACAAAGAAACAAAAGCAAAATAACAACAACAACAATAACGATACAGGTTTTTCAAAACAAGATAGGAATTTAGCAGTGGTTGTTACATTGCATATTGTTACCTTCAAAATAGTTGCTCAGGTTACCACATACAGAATAAATGAAAACAGTAAAACAGAACACAACATTGGATTTCAAAAATAATACAGGAAATCTTCCACAGTACCTATAATGCATATTGTTATCCTTCAAGAGGCGCTCAGACTACCCATTTTAGGCCTGCAAAGTTAATCAAACAATACAAGCATTGAGTTTTTTTTTTTTTCACTTTAGTTGCTATCATCTCAGTCTGACTTCCTCTGAATCAGTCCATTTCTTACAGGGGGTGGAGATAGAGGTGGGGGCTGCTCATCTTGTCTCCCAGCCCACACATCAGCTGGCTCACGGGAAGGCTTGGTTTGGCTTTTTGATCCTCTTCGTTTTCCCCAAGATGACTGCTCCTGGCTCACAGGAAGGCATGATTTGGCTTCTTGATTCTCTTCCTGTTTCCTGTGGCAGCTGTGGGAAGGCATGGTTTGGTTTGAATCTCTTCCTGTTCCCCATAGCTACTGCTCCTGGTTCATGGGAAGGTGTGGTTTCCTTTAGTTTTTAAATTTAAATATTCTTTGTGTATATCTGTCTATGCCTTCTTTGCTTTTCTTAGTGACATTCTATTAGTTAGCTCAGACCATTTACCCTTGACGTATTGCAAACGACTTTTAATTGGACACTCCTCAGTCTTGCTATTTCATCTGATACCTGAATACCAAGTTAATCTTGCTTTATCATATTACACTTCTGCTGTAATCATTTCCCACTGTCTTTTTTAACATAGAGTTCTAAGCCTCTGTGTTTATGGACTTACATACTCTTCTGCCTAAGTCACAGAATTTGCAATGATTTATCTTACCTGGATTGGGTTGTTTATTCTTTATTGAGGACTCCCACATCCCTTTCAGTTTTATATGTTTATTTACAGTATTGCTTCTGCCTTGTAGTTTTCTTGGTTCCTCAAAATTCCTCCTAAATCCTTCAACATCTAACTTTATCATTCTTTCCTCCATGAATCCTCTTACTGACTTGTCTCTCTGTTGAATTCATGAAAGATAGCTCTATGAAACTTCTACAATGCCTTTTCTTTGTAATTAGTAATAGACATGCATTATATCTTCTAGATCTTAAACTCTGAATATAGTTGTTTATCTTGGTGTGTCTTCTACAGAATCTAGTATAATGCCTAATAAATACTAGATGGTCATTAAATATTTAGAAGAATTTATTTCCAAACAGTAGATGCTAAGTTATTAATTGTATTCATTTTATTCTTCCTTTTGAAAATGATTTATGTTACTAAACTTCATTCAAAATGTTCCTTTTGTGCGGGATTTTCTAGTAATATTATACAGTGTTCATATCTTACAATGATTATTTTAAAAAATACTGTATTCTGTGATCACACTTTAACATTCAGAGAAGATATTTAAGGAAAAGATGTAATCATTAGATTGACAGAGCTTTAGAAAGAAGACATTGTATGGTCTGGACACAATAAAAAATTCTGAGCTAAATGCCTGGTTAGCAGAATGTGGTTACAGGTAAACAGTTTTTACCTGTTTTAGGTAAAATAGTGAAAAATAATGAGTGCAATTTTCTTCTGAGAGTTTCTTGGCTGTTTTTTGTCCGTAGTGTCATCACCATCCTTTTCATTTCTATGAAAATAATAAATCTGGTAATAGAGTAGAACAACAGGCATTTTGGCTGCTCCTTCCTGATAAAAGGTGTGTTTACCAATTACCACAGGTACTTTCTGGTATTTTTTAAGGGAAGGAAAGAATGCAAGAAACTATAAGACATGACTTCTTGTATTATATATTATTTTTGGTTGTGGAAGAAATATATTTATAAAGTATAAATGTGAAGCTGAATTGCTGCTGTGATGCTCTTTCAGTGGTTTCTTAGCCTTTTTGTTTTTCTTATGACAGACCAACTACAGTTGAAAATCTAAAACTGATTGATGGTGTTTCTGAAGGAAAAGCTACTATGTTGGCCCCTCTTTTGGAAGTCATCAAGCATTTCTGCCAAGAAAATAGTGTTCAGGTAAAATGTTACAATGTACAGGAACTCTTACAGAATAATAATTTTTTTTAATCAACTGAAAACACCCTTTGAAAGCAAGATCTTTGCATTTATTTGTATTTCCATATTGGACACTTGAAAAATAGATTCACAGTATTGTTTTTTACAGTAAATGCATTGTAAAAACATGTTAATTGCCTTCTTTTAAAGATGATACTAAAGTAGTTGTCCAGTGTCCAGGCAGCCTGTATCTATTTCATTGAGAGATTTTATTCTTAGATTTGAGTAAGTACTTTATTCTAAGTTAATAAATTATAAATTTTTCTCTCACATGTTGCAGTTAGAACAGCTGCAAAATTATACTTAATATCATTTGGTTAGGAGCTCAGCTGCTCTGTTTTTCTTATCATTTGGCATGGTCCTTAACTGCCTATTAAGTATGTTTCATTTTATTGTCTTCTGTCTTTATACTTTGTTCTTCTTATCTTTTTATTATTTTTTGCTCTATATCAATGACCAGTTTTAAACCACAGTTGGGGTTTCCTTGAATGCCACATACAGCTCATTTGTGCACAGAAAGTCAGAGCAGTGAGGTTATGAAAAGACTGTGGGACTTGAGCAGGGAATCAGGATTTCAGTTCTGTGGTTTGCCTGGTGAACCTGACCTTATTTATTTTTTTATTTTCTAACTTCTGGGTCTCCATTTGCTCACCTACCTGTGGAATAATACTTTCTGCCCCATATCCAATGGGTAACATTAGGAAGGTAAAAGACATGGAGTGCTTATAAATATTTGGAAGAATTAAAAACACTTAAGGCAATATTAAAGGACTGCTTTTTCTGAGAACTTCCTGTAAGCTTTGGGCAGGCACAACCTAAGATTCTACTTTGGAAAAGTCCTCCTCTCACCTGAGGAAGAAAACTGCTATGATTTGTATGTAGCATTTCCTTTTTTGAAGTAGAGTATGTTTGGCAACTTAACCTTAAGATACCATGTGAAAATTCCTTATATTGCATATTAGGTATTTTGAAAATAACATTATAGTATCTTGATGATTTGATGAAGATCAGTGTGCCCATAGTGGTAATTCAGTAAGTCCCTCTCTTTGGACACTTGATGGTAGTATCTCCTTTCATAAATTCATGTTACTATTCAATATGAATGGGTTGTCCTACCCAACTCCCCCTCCAGAAGACAAAACTGTAGGAAGCTAGAAGTTAAGTGCTCCAAATGACAGGTACAAAAAAGCTATTCTGAACCTATGAATAGAGAAAATGACTGTTGGTATCTCTGATTAGTAATTATGCTTGGAATATTCTACAAATTGAAATCATTTATAAAAGAAAGAAATGAATAATCATTAATGTTTAAGCCAGTTTTCTTATTCACTACTTTCCTAAGCCTTTACTGTATTTACTTCAAATTTTGAAGTAAAACTTAAATACTACCATAATACAAAGTCCAGTACTTACCAATAAGCACTAGAAATGGTGGTATGTGCCACGAGTCCCAGCTACTTGGAGGGATGAGGCAAGAAAATAACTTGGGTCTAAAAGTGGACAGCATAATGAGACCTCATCTTACTAAATGAAAGTTTAAAAAGGAAAGTAACAATGTGACACGGGTGTAATCCCTTGAGATGATTGTTTAAGAAAAATATGCTGAAATGACTTTATTGAAATGCATTTTATGAAAATTATCTTTTTAAGTGTCTATTCCTTCTTTTTTTTTTTTTTTTTTTTTTTAAATTACACTGGAAAATCCAAAAGATTTTAGGACTTTTGGGACAAAATGCTGGCATCATCTGTAAATGCGCAATGATAGGATTTAAGAGTATTCAAGACACTCAGCAAAATAATCCAAAGTAATAATATCAAGAAGGTGGGATCAGACTGTAACTTTACTAAGCAATAGGCTAATGAAATCATATTCTGTGTAGGTAAAAGATTTTGGCAAGACAGTGATCAGTTGTAGAAACACATAGCAAAAACGTAAGAAGAAATGTAGGCAAAGCCTTCTTGGGCACTTTTCAGATGAGAATTTGGCTAAGTAGCTTTGAATAGAGTGATTTAACTGGTGAGGAGAATGCCTTAACTTTTGTTGCTAAGAGTGTCTTAAGCATTAAGACAGTAAAAGAAGTTCCCGTGTTGTATTACAAGCTTGATAAAGAATGTTTAGGGAAGCTGGCTTCCATATAACTTCTTTAGGATAAAGCATGCTAGATGGGCCATGTGAAACATCCCAGTTATGTTTCTTGCTTTAATTATTGAATTTGCTTTCCATTTGCATATACATATATGAAGTCAAGTTAACAATATTGTACATCTATTATGCAGAGCACAGCTGCTAGTTCTGCAGAGCACAACTGCTCTATAATAAGACATACAAGACTTTTAAAATTGAGAGAGTAAGAACTAAAGCCTAAGCCTGGACCATGTATGATGGCATGGTGTAGGGACCACTCTGAGTAGCAAGCTAGGCTTCCAGAAATTACCCATTCTGTCTTCATACACCTATTGTGTCAAAATGCACAATTCTGAAGCTTTGAAACAGACATAGGGAGAGAACATCGCGGACAGACAACAGCAACTACTGAACGCTCTCTAAAGGCTCGGCTCAGAGGCCAGGAATGATGCGGACTAAGGAGATACGAACCAGTAGAGATACGCTCTGCTGACTCAGGAACGAAGTGGGCTGAGAGAATCCAACTTGGAATACAGTCCTGGCGCTAAAATAGGAACAGAAAAATCTCGGTGTGGAGGCTCGACTCCGCGCCATTGGAAACCGCGGTTTGGATTTCCCGCCCCGCCCGGCGGCCGGCTGCCTCCATAGCGGCTCGGCAAGGAGAGACGCGACTGCCAAGCTCTGGGAACGGGAGTCTCCGAACGGAGTCGGAAACGCGACGGACAGGGAGGAAGGCTGACTGGTGGCGAGGTGAGCGAGGAACTGACTCCCTACCGCAGTTTGACTCCAGCGGAGGTTTTTCTGGGCGCGGGCAGTCCTGTAAGAGCAGGGCGCGGTGGCAACTGCAGCCGCACATTTCCCTCTCGGACGGGATTGGTGAAAGGTGCCTGGCCGGAGGGACGCTGCTCGCTTACTCCCTAGGCTGGCCTAACCCAGATCCCAGAGCCTGATGGTGGCCCGGAGGAGCGACCGACTCCCGCGTAGGCTGCCTCCTCCGCAACTCCCTGGGGCGCAGCGGTGAGCGGGAACAACTAGCCAGCGCAATTTGATCAAGCTGTGGCTGACAGGCAGGGAAGCCGGGCCTCCTGTGTAAGATTACATTTTATAAGGAACAGAAAATATGGGGAAGGGAAGCAACAAAAAAGGCTCCTCGACCCCCAATCCTGAGAATCAGGCAATAGTGGACACTGCACCAATATATATTAAGCGCCATTTAGAGAGCCTCATAGACCAATTCAGGAATGAAGTTATCAATGACCTGAAGCTAGAAGTATGCAGAATAGTTAGAGAAATGCTAAGCACCACCCAGGAAAAAGCAGATGGTGGAATGGAAGAACAGAAAAAGAGGGGAGAATTGCTTGATGGAGAAAACAGAGAAAGCATTGAGTATGTGAAGCAGGTGCAAAGGGACTATCAAGAAATTAAGAAGTCTACCCAAGACTGGCATAACAGCTTGAAAGAAACTAAGGACAGACTATCTGAATTGGAGGGCAGACTTGAAACATGGGAGAATGAAATGAAAAACTTCTTAAAAATAACAAAGAAACACACAGCAATAATACAAAGACAAGAAGATGATAAGAGGAGCCATAACTTAAGGATTAAGAACATAAAAGAAGAAGTAGGGACACAAACAAGTGAACTACAAAAGCTACTCACAGAAATAATCCAGGAGAATTTTCCTAATTTAGCAAAAGGTAAAGATACTCAAATGTATGAGGCATACAGGACCCCAGCTACCTACAACCCTAACAGAGAAACACCTAGGCATGTAATAATAAAAATTCCAGAAATTCAATACAAGAACAGAATATTAAAAGCTGTAAGAGACAAGAAACAGATCACTTACAAGGGAAGACCCATCAGAATTACAGCAGATTTCTCTTCACAAACCATCAAATCACGAAGAGCATGGGGAGAAATAATTCAAGCTTTGAAAGATAATAATCTACAGCCAAGATTGAGATATCCTGCACAACTGTCCCTGGAAATTGATGGAAAAACGAGGTACTTCCAGGATAAAGAGGAACTGGGGGAATTTGCAACCACCAATTCAACCCTACAGAAAGTATTGCAGGATATTCTAAAAAAAGAAAAATACAAAGAACCCAGAAATAGGGGCGGGGAGGCCACAATGAATGGAGCAGAGAACAAAATGAAGAAGACAAACTGACAGCTACTGACAGAAAAAGAGCTCAACAGAAATGAGACAGAAGATTGGATGATAGGAACAGCTTTTTTTTGGAGAAAATGACTTTTTAATAGGTAATGCTGATTTAGTACCATCTTGTTTTGAAGTCTCATCTAGCTTTTGTTCTTCTGTCTCCAATGGTCTAAACAGGTTGTATCTTATTGGATTTTGTTATGTACGATAGTATAAGAAAAAACCTTTTAAAGACAAGGAGATTATACAGAGACCATTGTTCATTTTCTGTTAGTCGATTCTAAATACTCTATAATGCTGTCATTCTCTTAAATGGATTTACATTGTTTTGATATACTTAATGCTACAGTATATGAAGTTGTACTCAAGGACTTCAGGGAGGGAGTCAATATGGTAACTATTTTTGGGTCAGGATTAGCTGGTGGTGAAACACTATTCTGCTTAAATGGTTATGTTTTGATCTGCCCTGTTTCGCTGTTATGCCCTCCTTTTTCTCAATCTCCACTCCATTATTTACTTTTTTATTTTTATCCATTTAATTAAAGGGAAAAATATAACAGGATATAATATAGTAACCCACTTTGACTTTCTATTATCTCGATTTGAAGCCCTGTATTACTCTCACCATCTTGTTTTTGACTGAGGTTCCTATATTCTGTTTTGCTGGATAGTATCAGGTTCGAAAGTTTAGGCATCAGCTGAGAAGATAATGAGATTCATTATAACGCCCATTCTCGTTGACTTTTATCTACTTTTGAAGACCTACAATATCTCCAATGTTTTGGTTTTGTTGGTTTTATTCTTTACGGTTTTGTTCAATTGTATTACAACTAATGATATAGGCAATTCTATTAGAAATAGCGGGAGGCATTATGGTAACCATTGTTGATCACCTTGTATTATGTTTTTATATTATCTATTATGTCCACCCTTTTGACTTGACCGATTCTGTTCTGTTATGTCACATTTGGTTTTACTCTCTTCCAAAAAAGCAACAAGAACCGTGGGAGCAATGAAACCCAAAATGTGTAATAGTCACTGTACAAAAGAGAGGAAAAGAAAGTGCTCTAAACTATATAACTGCATGTATATTTAAATGTATAAGATAGAAAATGATAGCACAGAGTTTTATTGGATCATTGAACAAAACTGTTTGCAGTATCATTGTTGGAATGTCCACTCTACAATGCTTTAATTTTGTGACTTAAACAATTATTTCTAAGATGGCAATATGTAATCCATTAACTAGTGATTTCCTATTGCGCATTTTTTTATTCTGTAAATCTGTATAACTTGTACCCCTTCACTGTTTTTTTTTCTTTCTTTTCTTTTCTCCTTAAATAAAAATTAAAAAAAAAAAAAAAAAAAAAGAAACAGACATAGATTCATGAAACACTGAGCCCTGTTTTACTTAGATATGGTATATGCTTAGAACGCCAAATCCTCACACTTATTTGTGGTTGAAATTCTCTTTTGTGTTCATGTGTGAGTATAGCTCTGAAATTCTTCTTCATGCAAAGCAAAATCCTAAAGGTTTGGAGACCATATTCTATTGCTTTGGGCCACATAATCCAAATTCTAAAATTAGGTATAAAAAGGGAAAAAAATCAAACACATTTATATTTCTCAGTATGCAATTAAGTAAAAGACATGGAAAAAAAATTTTTTTATTGAACTCCATAAATGACAGGATATGGAAACAAAAATTAAAGTTCTTTCCCAAAGAAAAGCTTATAAAAATTCTTCCTCATGTATCTATACATAAAATAGTAGGTCACAATGATATATAAGCTTATCAAAATGATACTAATATTGTTCATCAAAGACCAGGCTCCTTATTATATAAGTTTGTTACAGGTTACATTATCATAGGAATATACTGTTTTTATGTCTCTTTTATGTCTGATTAATTTTAAAAACCAATTTTCTGTCTTTTTACTATCTTCAGGCTTCAAAAAAATTCCAATATCTCTTTATTCATCATATTTTAAAAATTTTTTCCCTTTTTTTTTTAAACATTTCCTAGGAAACTATTTTTAAGATTATATATAATTCATACAGGTAGAGTACCACTTGGGATGTACCTTTTAAAATTAATTTCCCTCTCTCTTCTATGGCCATACTACCCTGAATGCACCTGATCTCATCTCTGTCTGTATCTTGAACATGGACAAACATATGCATATAGATAGGGTAAATTTCCTTATACTACATTAGCCAGTTTTGTTACTATAGAACCTAAATATGAATACTGATTCTTTTTACTCATTAAGTATTTACTTCTAGAGAATGGAAACAGATTGGATCGTGTTCTAGTTCCTTTTTTATTACTTCTTACCAGTGAAAGACAAGAATTAGGCTGTTATAAATATTTTGGTAAAACATTTTGCTCTCTAGCATCATTTTAACTCTTTAAAATGTAAACTCCAAATTCATTGTGCCATCCCCCATAAAAACCCTTTGTTATTTAAAATTTTTACTTGGGATTTTTTTTCTAAATAACCAGTAATCATATATTGATCAGTATGTTGATAATTATTATTAGTCTTTCACTTTGAGATTATTATTGATTTTCTGCGCTACATTTAAAATCCTGTAGACAGACCTCTTTTCAAGTACAAAACCTCAAGAAGAACAGAAGAAAAGTCCAGAAGTGAACCATGAAAAATGCTCATTCTCACAGTCTGTGGCTGTCACATATTCTCTATTCCAAGAAAAGAAAATGTCCTTGGTAAGTCTTATTTGAAGTTACAGGGAAGTTTTTAGTTTATCTAAACCTGTGTATTGTCAGCTTTTCAGTATTAAAGCTGTGACTTGGGATCAGTTTCTTTTAACCTGCAAAATGTCTTGTTGTATCTTTAATTTTGAAACTGAATGTCATTTTCTTTTTGTGTTAATACCGACAGTAATAATAACTTGACCATGATTTTCATGCAGAGATGGTATCAGAGTTACATAAAAGTGTAATTATACCTCAGAGATCCTGCAAAAGCAGTATTTTAAACGTTTTTTTTAAAAAAACAAAATGGGATTAGTAGTTTAAAACTCTTTTACAGTACATTTATATGTACTATTTAGAAAGAGCCTCTTACAGCTAAGATGTAGTTTAGTGGTAGAGTGCTTGCCTAGCATGTATGAGGTCCTGGTTTTAATCTTCAGTAGCATCAGAAACAACCAATAAGCAGTCTTCAAGAATATAAGGCAAGGGGCTGGTGATTCAGCTCTGTGGCAAAGCACCTGCCTGGCAACCTCAAGATCCTGAGTTCGATTCCTTGTACCAGGAAAAAAAAAAACCATGAGGCAAGAATAACCCTACATCGACCAAAACTGCATACTGCTGTACCCTGTATCCAGCCTATATGGCCTCTGTGCCCAAGAGAAAAGCTGAAGAGAAAGGCAAAGGAGATAAAGCCAAGGCAAAGGAACAACAGCGGAGAAGACCCGCAAGGTCTTCTTCTAAAGCTGATCCTGCATACCTGAAAGGCTCCTGAATGGAAGGGAGAGAAGGTGCCCAGAACAAAAAAGGGAAAAGCTGATGCTATTTTCTAACCCTGCAGAAAAGGGAGATCCATAGCCAGACAAGGAACAGAAAGCAGAAAGTGCTGGAGAAGCCAAATGAACTGTGTGCATTTTTGGTAACTGTACTTCTGGTGATTGTACAGTTTGAAGTACTTTTTAATGGAGTTTTATAAAAATGCAGAATTTTGTCTTACTTTTTTTTAGCTATGTGGTTAGCACACAGTTTGCTTCATTGTTTCTTGGGTAAAGAGTATATATCACTAATACAGTGTCTCCAAAGCTGGATTGAAGGGGAGAACACCTTCCCTATTAGTTTTGAAAGACTGTGTCTTGGCTCCCAGAAAGAGGGGTTCCCTGATATTGACACATGTGGACGCCTTGGCGCAGATGTGGTGGTGTTGGAATGTTTATGTTCTCCTGTCCTTCTCTGCCATCAGCGCAGACTCTCTTAAGCCTGGAGACCTGACTCTCAGAAACTGGAGTTACCAGTGTGTCAGGCAGTCTGGACCTGGCAGTGACATGGAGATGGTGTCCCCCCAAAAACAACGCTCCTTTTCTAGACTGTGGGCTTTCGGATTGGTGATTCCTTCCATTTTCATTTCATTTCCTGAAAGTCAGAGCCATCTTGTGAAAAGTGGTTAAACAATATGCTCTATGTGAAATACCAGTCCTCCCTCTAAATTTTCTCTACTCAGAGCATCAAGTGAAAACTATTGGATTTTATAATGGCTTTCTAATTTTTCTTTATCCATCCAATAAGGAAGTTTGAAAGTCATGCACTTGAACGATGTATACCCATGTCCTGCCTGAAACATTGAAATTGTTTATGAAACATATCTGTAGTAAAACTGGATAGTTTGGTTTGAAAAAAAAGAGATCTTCAAGGTTCATTAAGTTTAAAAAAAAAAAAAGGAAGGGGAAAAAACAAACGTGTTTATATATTCATAGTTCTACATTTCTTAGTTTTGTATATATCTAAAAATTCATACAGGATCTCTGGAAGGATATCCAAAAAACTGGAAATCAAGTTATTAAAAAAATCACTCTGTATTTGTTAGCACTGTTTGTTTTAAAGTATGCCAGCTGAGCTGCTCCTTGCAAAAATGAATAAATAAATACATAGATGAATAAATCTGTTGTTAAAGAGGAGCCATACTTAATATTTCTTCATTGTTCTAATACATATTCTTAAGGCTGTTGAGGTTTGATTTTTTTTTTTTTTTTTTTGGTATACAAAGTAGAGATAAGTTCATAGCTTATTTTACTTACTAATGTAATTGGCTTGTCAAGTTCTTCAATTAAAAGTACAAAAGCCATTACTCAAGAAACCAAATAATTCTATTAAGAAAGTTGAATTCTTGTGTTCATACTAACTTACCTGAACATGCTAAAAATGCCTTTATACATTATTAGAACTGTCATTTTTAAGTAAGTTTGTTATGAGCTCTGAATTTTGAATAATGTCCATTCTAATATTAGTCATAATATGCGGTTTCATATATTACATATTCATGATTAAAGAATAATGTGTCATCATTTTTGCTTTTGGCATTATTTTGTAATATTTTATTTTGTGATAGGATGGTTAATTATCTGTGCCTCCCTAGAGTCTAAGAGGGTCTTGCCAATTAACCACAAAATTAAACATGCCTAAGGACTTATTAATCAGGACCAATAATATAATTAAGTTGAAGTAACTTGATGCCTCGTATCAGATAACCCTGATATTATGCACACATGGTGCACACTTTCTGGTAGAAAATAGTAGATATTTAATGAAGGTAATTTTATCTGAAGGATGAAAACACTGCCTTAGATAATCTATTCTATGAAAGTATCAGCATTCACACAAATTCAGTCTAAATTTAAACTTTCAAAATGTATTGCAAGAATATCATGAAGTATTTTAGATTTGAGCTAAATGCTTAGAATGTCTTACCTAATATATCTTAATTGTGAAGTCACAGTTGTTTCAAAAGCTGTATAAATATGAAACATTATTCTAAATTACACATTAAGTTCAGTAGTATGAAAGTGGTGACAGGCCTTGTTAGAAGTGTAGTTATTTTTTTAACAGAAACAATTTAAAACACTTATTAAAGTCTTCTCAGGAGTCTTTTATATCATGCATCTGGTGTCTTACATTATTACTACACATTTTAAAATTTGTCTTCTTGAAACCAAAGCACCATGTATTATTTCAAACATAGAAACTATTAGAATATAGTTCTATTTCCAAAAATTGTAACAACTGTTAGACTTAGAATAACTCTCTGTCACTTAAAGCTTTGTAAAGCGAATGGAAAAGTATAAGGATTGGCTGCTTGTCTAATGCTGGAGCTTTTATTCTACCCAATATAGCAAGTATAAAAAGTAGAACCAATCGAGGTCATTAGTATTTAATGCAAATCTTAGGTGCAAGTTTAGCCCATTGTTTTGTTCTTGGTAAATATTTATTACCTGAGGTTTTAATTATTTTTGTTCTGTGAAGTACAATGGAAACAGAAATCTCACTGGTTTTTTTGCTATGATTTCTCTAGGACAGCGTAGCCAAGAACAGGACTCTGCCGCTCACGGTGGTTGGCCAACACTTAGCCCAAGTAGTAAAAGCTGGCTACTCCCTGGATATGGAGCGATCAGGGCTGACTCCAGAGGTTCAGAAGATTATTACTGCTGTTATCCAAAACCCTCCCGTCAACTCAGGTGACACATAGGGCTCTGTGCTACAGCAGTAATGACTTGTGTTACTGAATCCGGATGAAGTAAACAAGCAATCAGCTAATACTTTGCACTTTAACAGCACTGACCCTTTATGCTGCTTTGAAAAGCTTACGCTTTTTGTTTGTGGGGTTTTTTTTCTTTTGTTCTTTTGGTTTGAGAAAAATAATCTATTCGTTATCACTCAGAGGAAAAAAGACTGACAATGATTTTTTTCCTTGCCAGCTTCATATTCCATCTTTTATATCCTTCCCCAAACAGGGTACATTTACCCTTTTCTAATTTCTGCTTAATCACATGCAAAAACCACATTTTCCTTTCTATTCATTCCCAACAGCTTACTGACTGCCTGTGTTCCCCTAACCTTTTTGATTCCTTGTCAGTTATTTCACTTGAGTGCCCTCTCCAGTTAACCTGGTGTACTGTGATGTGGACGGAGGCCAAGCTCTGTAGCCCTTGCACAAGGGTTTTCTCTTGGCCCTGTGCTAAAGAACCTCTGCTGTGCTCATCAAGGTGAATGAAGCCCCTTTGCTTGTCCTGCAGAATTTTTTTCAATTTTGAAATAGGATCTCCCTAAGTTGCTCAGGCTAGGTTTGAATTTCAGATCTTCTTTCCTCAACCTTTGAGAGTGCTGAATTATAGGTCTATGTTCCCGTATCTCGTTTATTGCAGAAATTTTTAAGTAAAGATTCATTCTTTATGGTTAAGTAGAAATATGTTAGAGGATTTTCCCCTTAAATGCAGAAGTGTAAACTTCATGTGTTAGAATATAATAAATCTGCTACCTATTTTCAGATTGTCAGGACAGAGCAATAGCCTAAAACCTTCTAATTGTATGAATAATTACTTTTTAGTGATTCTTATTTTTTTACTACATGGAAGCAACCTTTAATATTCTCCCCAAGAATTTGGAAATAAGGGAAATAAGATTACTCTGAAGTCACAGGAAATACTGTACTGTACTGATTAGAGCAAAAGTAAGTCACCATAACAGCAGCATTATTTTTAGGCTTGTGCAAAACTTGACTGAAGGTGTGAAGCACGAGCACCCCCATTACTTCCATTGTTCAGCAGTTGAGGCACAGGCAAGCTTGGGGGGCATTCTTTCAAAACCCAGGGATGAGAAGTGCTGGCCAGTGAGATTTCAGCTGTGTTAAGCCCCATGGATATGTTATGTTGTGATCATGTTCAAGAAAGACTCTTCACACTTGATCTCAGCCAAGAGGCTGAGAAGCAATGAGAAAGACCTTTAACAAGTAATTCTTCTGTTTTGTCCCAGCTTTCTGGTTACTGTTTGATTTCCTATGTATATCTCTCCTTAGGGAAAGCATGCTGTAGTTATACTTATTTGAATATATGATGATTGTGCATGAATAATTTTGTGAACTTGGAGTGTGGATCTGCTAAGGCTAAATTACATTTCTGAATTTGAAAACGAAAGAGCCAAGTCCTGGACTGCATGTTAAATATGGGGAATTTAGCTGTCAATCATCTAATGAGAAAATCAACTCTTCTGGGCATATTCCAGTCTAACATCAGCAGCCAGTTCGCTACAAATGTGGCAGAAAGAAGAAAATAGTCATTATTTTGTACGACTAGATTATGGTTGTATGAATCTGTTTCACCACTGCAAGATGGCACAGTGTTTTAGGCAAATTTAAAGATTCCAATGCCATGTACGTTGTAATATTCTAGAATTCTGTTTTCCATTATAAATGTTCTGAGTCTCTTAGGACTCAGAAAAATATGTGTCTTTTGATGAGATATTGAGCAGTAGGCAATATTCCCTGAAAGAGTTTGTGCAGCTTTTTCTTTTTTTAAAAAAAAAATATTGACAGTCATGTTTGCTGTCCTTTGGCTGCATTTCCTCAAACCTGAAGGCTGACAGATGGTGTGAGCCTCATCAGTAAGAGCAAGGCTCCCACACCAGACAGATCTGTGCTAAGATCTTGGCTCTACTGTGTAAAGTTAATGTGACCATTGGCAAATGAACCTAATCTCCCTGAGTCTTGTTTCCTTCTCTCTAAAGTGAGGAAGGATAATATTGCTTCTTACAGAATAATGAGAAATAAATTAGATATTATCCAGAAAGTCCTGGTGCATGGTAATTAGTTGGTAAATGGCAGTGGTGAAAGATGATGATGAGTGAAGTAGATGGGATGATCTAGCATTTTAAAAATACCTTTAAAATATGATTAATTTTATTCTTTATCTTTTTAATAGCTAATTAAGAATATATGAAGTTAATAAGTAGGCATATTAGAAGTTTAAAAACCTGCACAGTGTCCTTTGTTATCTTTGGAGGGATTACTTTCACAATATCCCTCCTTCTCCTGTAAGTAGTGAAATCTGTACATGTGAAAGTGTCTTGTACTAAATAGTGTAGTATTTTTATGTAACCTATACACATCCTCTTGTATACTTTAAACTATCTCTAGATTACATATAATACTATGATGTAAATGCTTTGTAGATAGTAATTCTATTGAAATGTTTATGAAATGACAACCATATGTATGTTCGATAGAGATGCAAATTTTTAAAAAAATTTCAATCTGTGGTTGAAGAATCCAGGATATAGAACCCATAGATGGCGAAAAATTATGGCAGATTATAATCTGTTCTGTATGTATTTGTACTAAAGAATTCCTATGCATTGTTCCTGCATGAACATAAAATGAGTGTTCTAATTTCAGTTCATTATTGCCTGAGGAAAATGGTAGAGGCAGATTTAAGACTGTAATATTCAGCTTGATGTTGACAGTATCTGTTTATGTGGCTATGGTAAAGAATGGAAGTGCTGTTAATTTCATTTCTAAATCATGTCATAAAATTATGGAACTTCTGATTTGAAAAAAATTGGAGATATTCTGTTGTCTCTTACCTTGTTCAAAGAAAGGAAAGTGAGGCCTCCAAAGTTGCAAAATTGTTTTAATGTCATGTCTAAGATTAATGACAAAGATTTTCTTAGTACTATAATGTGTTTTGAGTTGTGTTTCCAGCTAACTTGAAGGAAATATATAGTTTATAGTTTTGATGCAGGATTTAGGTTTATAAGCCAGTAAATTGATGAATAAAATTAATCATATTCAATTTAATATCTTTTACAATCTGTCAAGACTACCACCATCTCTAGTACTCTGTATATTAAGAGTTCAGCAATTTCTCTGTGTGATGTTAGATAACTTCTAAATTAAGAAATATGAAAATAGAATTTTATAAAGATGAAAAATGACTAGCCCAATTCAACATATATTGGGGAGTTGGAAAACGTTTTGAAATGTTATCAGTAAAACATTTGTCTTTATCACCATACATAAAGTATGTAATGTTACATAAATTTTTAGCTGGAGATAAGCATTAAATTGAAATTGCAAAGAACAGCAGAGTGTATTTTACAATAATACCTATTAACAGTGTGTTCTCTGTCAGTAGTTTGTATCCAGGTTCAACATAAAATGTTAGAAGAGGATTTTTTTGTAGTGTGCATCCAAAGGGAGATAGATGAAGTTAAAATGGTGGTGTAACCATGGGCCATTACTTATTTTGACAGTACATTTATATATCTAAGATATCATTTGTTGGTGTGATATTTTTACTTTGGGATTGTTTTTATTTGGTAAAAATAGTATTTGTTTTCTTGAGAAAATATAAGGGCTAGTAAAATATGAGAAATGAAGATATATTCTACTTTAATGACTCAGATGTTATTTTCATGTTTAACTGTATGTAACCTTTTCACATAACTCAGTGTTTTAATGAAAAATTTGATTGATATCTAAATTTTACATAATACTGAATTGAGAAAATTTCTATAAAATAATGCTTATGATAGAATGGAGTTTTTAAAAATTGGTTTGCTTACATCAGTCTTGAATTTTAAAACTTTAAAGTACTTTGATAACTTACTGTCCTTCTTTGTATTAGTTGTGTAACTGTCTTGTGTTTTGTTTTTTTTTAACTGCAGTGTTTGGAAAATTCTCAAAATATCAAGCCAATACACTGTAATAATTTAAAATCAGCTTTTCAGAATGACACTCTAACAAATACTGGATTCTGACCATAAACAAAGCTGTGTCATAAATGCTTGATATGTTTTATAAATTACATGAAGATGAGTGTGTTCTAGTTCTTTAAAGTGCTCTAGAGCATTGTAGATAAATACAGCAGTACCTTGGTTCACGAACTTAATTCGTTCCATGATTCTGGAAAAGATGGTCATGTTCATGTTTGTCACCCTGTGTGGAGTTCACAAACAAAAACAAAATTTTTTCAAACCAAATTGTTCACAAATAAAAGCATCTGTGAATCAAGTGTATAATATTGGAAGAAAGTGGTCGAAACAGCGTTTTATTTGTAAGAGATTGCCCTATAATTTATAGGAAGAGTGAAAATATTGACACAGTCTGAATTTAGTTGTTTTGAGTTACAAAAATTAATAGTTCCTTGATTCTGAAAATAAGACATAGTTCCCCCAGGAAGGTCGGGTGGTTAATAAACATTTTAAAAGATTGATGTATTTTGTTATGCTGTAATACCCATTGAAACAATCCTCTTGTTAGAATTTTATTTCTAATTATAATTGAGTTGTATTTTAATGATGTCATCTTTAAGATTAGTTTATAATTGATACTTGAAATTTCAAGCAGTTTCCTTTAGAAACTGAAGTGTCCTTTTGATTCTTGGCAGCCTACTGAAGACGGCTGAAATATAATTTATAAAGAGTCAATCGCGTTCATTTGTCCTGGAGACAAGGGGTGCAGGTGATGCAGGAGTGAGGAGGACATGTTTGGATTCCATCTCTGTTCTATAGGACTCTAAGTTTTGAAAGAAGAAAATTCTTATCAAACCTTTCTTTTTTCTTTTTACAAAATATTTGATTTCCAGATTATCAGTTTTCTGAAATGTTCTGCATGATTTGTTTTAAAAATCATTTTTTCATCTTTCACAGATATGAGTAAAATTAAACTAATTAGAATGTTAGTTCCGGAAAACATTGACACGTACCTGATCCACATGGTAATTGCGATACTGGAAAGTGATCGTGACCACACTCTGTTATGTCAGCCTTCATTTGATTCCAGCAAAAAGAGATGTTTCCCCAACTCTGAAGAGAGCTCTTCAGGTTCTAAGAGAAGCAAGGAAGAAGTAGGCACAAACAGCAAGGTGTTAATTATATGCAGAATTTTCATAATATCGCTTTGTTTAGTTTGCAAGTTCTAATGCTAAAATACTGTGTTCTTTGAACTGTTATACATTCTAATATAAGGTTACTTAACAATCTGTGTGCTCTGTTTCCTTTGCTTTTTATAATATGATCTGAGAAAAATGATTTAAAAAAAACAATAAAAGGAGAAGAGAGTCCATCTATTTAGTTTATAGAATGCGGACTTAATTTTACTTGTATTAGCTTTGTAGCCACGAAATTCTTTTTGCTTTCAAACGTGTAGTTAATAGGCTTAAGCATATGGCAATTTATATGGTTCATGAAAGCAAACTGATTTATGTATCATCCTGTCATTCATCATGTTCTCTTACTACTTTGTTGACTATATAGAGTACAAGGATAATTGTTGCTCATGATTCTGGGCATTTCACTCCTTCTCTGCATAGTCAGAGAAGGACTATAAATGCAGTAATGTTTCAGGTAGTATATTAAAATCAAGTGTGTGGAAAATTATTGCTCAGTGAATTATGTAAGATAAATAGTTATGGTAGAATGATTCTTTGGCAAGATGACTCAATTAAATGATTGTATAAAATTTGACTTTCAGTATTTTTCAGCTCTAAAATTACATGACTGCATTAGAAAAGTTATTGAGCTTTTAATAATTTGCTAAAAATTCTTTTAGTTCCTAGATGATGAACTTAGTGTGGTAGTTAGTGGTTGTTAATATTTGCATTACGAGATTAGAGACTCTATTTTATTTTTAAGGTAACTTTATATTTCCGAAAATTACAGTCTTAACTTTTCCAAATAGCTTTAAAAAATAAAGGGAACTGATGCTTATAAATTCTGTACTTCCATTGGGTTTGTGTATATTCACATTCTAGTAGGTAACCCAATGACATTTAATTAGCTGTAAATTTCACCTTTTTTATAATTGACTAGCTAGAAGATGGATAGTAAAGAAAATACATTTTGGGTAGAATTAATGAAAATAAGCTTTGACACCCAGGTTTTTATTTTTGTAACATATACTATGTGCCTGAGGGCCTACTTTTCTCAATTTCTCAATATATACAGCAATAGGTATAACTTATTATTTCTACATTTATAGTAAAACAATATTTTAATAACAATGTAGGGTTTTTGCTTTTCCTCTGTTGAAATGTCACTCCTAGGAACACGGTGGTTTCTTTGTAGGTTTTTTTGTTTTTTTTTTTTTTAGTTCTGGAGAGTTCTCTTCAATTATGGTTTTAAAATTTATTTCCAGAAGGTTTTGTAAATTACACCGTTTAGTATTTAGTTCTGTTGCTTTTTATTTCCTTTTCAGGAACTTCTGCTATCTTATGTTAGGTCTTCTTCATATACAGCTTCACTGTTCGTCACATATGTCTTCACTGCTCACAAATACCTTTCGTCTTGTGGTGGTGGTGGTGGTACTGGGTGTGGAGCCCCCTGGGCCTGATGTATAGTAGGCAAGAATCCGCCACCTAGCTGTGCCCTTAGCTCCTCTTCATTTACCTGTACCTTAATTTTTTTTATCTTGTATTTTTCTTTGGATATCTTTTCTGTTATTACTGTTTTTCATATAATAAAGTATTCACTTTAATTCTTCATATTCACTTCTTTTCTGATTCTTCTCTGAGCCTGCCTCAGTTTTGAATTTTCTGATTTTTTTAACTTATGTCATTCTTTCATGTTTAAAATGATTCTTTAAACGTTTTCAATTAATTTTGAAAAGTTACAGTTTTAGCTGGAATGTGGTGGTACGTGCTTATGATCTCCAGAGACTCAGGCAAATGAATCGCCCCAAGTTTGAGGCTAGCATGAACTATTTAGTGAGTTCAAGGCCAGCCTGAGATGCAGAGCTCATAGTGAGACCTTGTCTCAATACAAAACAAAACAAAAAGTTGCAGTTTAATTCTAACTGAATCGTCTTTCTGTTGTGAGATGTGACCTTGCTGCTTGTTCATTGTTTCATTTTAATGTAAAATTAGTTTTCCTACACTTTAAAAAGAAGGCATGAGTCAGGATGGCTTTTCCAATTTCATAGTTCTTTCTAATTTTATAATGTAATACTTAAAATATGAAAACTTGGTTTCTGAGCCATACATCCCCATGTTTACTGGGCTTTCTCTTCTGTTCTGTCTGTTTCACTGTCCCATTTGATTCTGGTTTAACCCCAGCAGTTTCTCTTGCATGTGGCGCCTCCTTCTGGAAGGCAGCCAGGGCTGGTCAGAGCTCCTGGGAGCCTGCTTCAGATACTTAGTGGGGAATTTTTACACCTCGTCTGTCCCCGCATTGTCAGGTGCTGTTTCACATTATTCCATGATCTTTTCAGAGTCTGTCCGTGGGTTCTTTTGAGTACTCTAGTTTGCAGATACCTTGATGCTTGCCACTTTCTCCCATACAGATGTATTTACCATGCAAGTATTAATAGCTAACCATAGACGGTTTGTTCTTATACTTTGGCTTTCCTGAAGATATCTACAAATGTAGCTCCACTGTAAATGTAGAAGCTAAGTTTTAGTTTTGCTGTATAATTCTGTCTATTCTGCTAGAATTCATAAACATTTAAAAACCTATAGATAATAGGAAGTACAAAGGTAGATCTTTTTTCAAATAGGATGATTAGGAGATGTGGGGTGATAAAAGAATTGAGATGTGTGTATATCTATTCTCAACAAAGAGTGTGGTCATATGTACTGCAAACATGTATACAGCTGGGGATTTAGCTCAGTGGCTTAAATGCCTGCCTGGCAAGCGCAAGGTCATGAGTTTGATCCCTGGCACCAAAAAAAAAAAAAAAAGAGAGACAAACATATATTAGTAAAAACTAAAAACAGGAAAAAAGAGAAAAGTGCAAGGTATAACTATTTTGTATTCTATAAAATTTCATAGGCTGATGAAAAACATCTTGATAATTTGTCACTGAAAGACAAAGACCACAGAACTTCATTAAAACTAGCTTCTTGGAATCAGCCACCTGATGATCCAGAACTAGAAGAATTATTTTCAGATTCTCATTCACAGGTAAAAATTATGAAAATAGTTTTGATGATAAATGCATTGGGCTTGATAATGAATAATTTTCAATTTTTTACTTATGGATGAGGTTAAATGTGAATATGTTATGTTACCTTTTTTCCCTCTATCTGCTCATATGCAAGTACGTATGATCAGCAAATGAGTCAATGTTTTCTGTTCACAGTTGATCAATAATAGCTTTGTAATATAATTTGAAGTTTCATAAAGTGACAAATAGCTGGAAATTTAGTATTCTACTGATGAAGGAAATAGACACTAAAAGACATTATTTCTATCTGGTGACCTAAACCTTGGAATTAATATCTCTTCGGACACTTGTTGTAGAGGCTCAAAAGATATACAGTGTATGTCCTCCCTCTTCTCAGTGAAAAAAGATTATTACAACTGTAGGATAAATGCAGAGGATCATATTCCATATAATATTATCAGAAATAAGATTGGTATTATCTACAAGTTAATGAGTGACAAGAAAAATCAGAATGTTTTGATATTTTGTGCATATTTCCATTTAACTCCAAATAATTCATGATGTTATATAGTATTCCTATTTTCTGAGTGAAGAAATTAAAGTTTAACATGCCTAAGATCACACATTTAAGTAGGTGGATTAATTAGAACTCAAAACTAGTCCTTTCCTGCGTTAAAGACCATCTTTATTCCATGATGTAGACTACTATAAGACTAGGGATTTCTCCTGTGTTCTATTACTGTTCAGGTATCTCAGTGTGTTTTACTCTTTGGCTTTATTACAATTTTAACTCCCCCTGCCACACTCAGGGCTCTAATTGCAGCAGCTGTATTTGTCTGTGACTACAAGGGATTTAATAGTAAGATCTTTTGAGAAGAATAAATGTTACTGTTATGGTGGGGGGTTTGCTGGGGATTGAACTAAAAGCCTTGTGCATGCAAGCACATTCTCTGTCACTGCACTGCCCAGCTGGCTCTAGACCCATTTTTTTTCCTCTAACAAAATACTTCTTCTCTGTGTATCTTTGCATCTCTAACACTTGCTATTTCCTAGTCCAATGTTGTGTATCTTTCAGTATACATAAGTTTCATTTGTTCTCCTGATTTTTTTCTTTCTTGCTTAAGAATGGATATCCAGGAACAGAGTTGCCGTATATTAGCTGTTTCTTTCCTCTAGCTTTTGCAATAATGTGAGTAGCTTTTTCTTCAGCATTTCTTTACTTAAGCTGGAGAAGCTAACAGTTCTTACCTTTTTCAGTTACAAAATTTCACAGTCTTTGCCAAGGATCTTTTGCTCTTTTACTTATCCTTAAATATTTTAAAGCATAGTTTAATGTAGAAATCATAATAAAACATAGAAAGCAATTGATAAACACTAGATTAGATAGAGAGATAGATAGGGCCATCATTCTTCAAGTGAAATAAATTATACTATAGTTATACATTACACTGACAGATACATTGTAACTTAGATAAGAGTACCTTAGTACATATTACAAAAGCCCTCAAGTATTTCCAATAATGGCTAGATTCAAAGGAGTAATAATATTAGAGTAACTTCTCTGTTAGGTTATTCTGAGCATCAAGTACTGTAACTGAGTTCTGAAGTTCTATAACTGAGTTTATGCCATTTTAGGCTTATGCAAACATTACCTGTTTTAAAATTGTTTTATATTTTTCATATGCCAAGGATATAGTACCCATATGCTGCCTTTGTGTTTGAAATTTCCACCACCACACAGGACTTTTAACCTATGGTTCAGAGGCTTTTTAAATAGATAAGCCTGTAAAATTATGTGTAAAATATTGTACGTGTATTTGCTTTTTTTCTCTGGAGAGTGGATCTGTGGTTGTCAGCAGATTCTCAAAGGAGTCTATCAGACAAGAAGATTTGTTGGTTTTGCTTTGTTTGGTTTTTGAGCGTCTTCTATGTCTTGACCAGTCTGCAAAGTGCTGATAATCACTATACCACTCCCCTTGTCTATCTGCCATTGTAGACATCAGGCACTATACTGTGTTTTAGATGCCAAATATGATTAATTCTGAGTTTGTATGTCTTCCTCAGAACATTAAATTCACCATTTTTTGTTAACTCAAAACATATACATGTGTGATGCAGATATTAAATGATCTCTAATTTTTAACTTATCAAATGAAGATCTGGACTTGAGTGTCCAAGAATGGGTGGGATAGCAATTAATTGCCTAAATAAGTGATATTACAGTTTCTTTACCCTTTCATTTGTTAACTTTTAGACCAGGAAATAAATTCTATAGATGCAACAGTTTTGCTTTGATGGTGAGAGGGTGGGTGTATATTCAGGACATGTTACTTGTTTTTGCAGGGCCCGACACATGGTACTTTGTTTGCAATTGATATACATTTCAGTAGGAAAACTATTTATTTTTTCTTTCTGTTTTCTATAGATATCATCTGCAGACTCAAAGAGAAACTTACCTGAATGGTTTACCAAAGGAAATAATACCATAAATGATAACAGCAAGAAACCAGTGACCAAAAAAAAAACCGAAAGGTCTTTTTAGTTAAGTTGGCAATTACCAGAAAGTTTTGTGTATCTTACTGTATTATAAGAGCTGTATTTCATTGCTAAAAGAAGTAATTTTATCTTAAAAATTGTTTTAACCCTAAATAAAGACTCATATACCTACTGAAGAACCAGTATCTTAAATTAACCTTCCATAGTTCAAATAAACTATTTGGGTCTTCTAGGAACCTACACATTTATTTCACAATAATAGAATATTAAATTAGATTTCTTTCGAATTACGTTCAGGAACTCTGTTCCTACCGTTTTTTAATCTCTTTATTGCGAATGTGTATTTGGAAAATATAATGTATGGTAATTTAATAAAAATAACACATTGCTGGGGTTTAGCTCAGCAGCATAAGCGCCTGCCTTGCAAGCGCATGGTCATGAGTTTGATCGCCGGCACCAAACAACAACAACAACAAAACAAAAACAAACCCCAAAACATTAGTTGTGTGGTGATTGTAGAATTTAAAATATTCTTATGTTACCAAATTTTTGGCGTATAAATGTAAAACAGCATAGTTATTTTTACAAATCATATTTGCCATCTTGCAAAGCAGCTTTTATAGCAATTGTTAGATGATATGAGTTAACCAAATCAGTAAAAATAAAATTACAATTTGAATATCATTAAGTGGGGGGAAAAGAATGTAATTAAAAGGGATTCTAATTGTGACAGGCAAGTATATAATTTGTATTTTCTACACAAGTTCTGTCATTTTTCAAATAATGAAACAATGTACTGAATATTATAAAGATATATGTAGTGTATTTTCACGTAATTCAAGTATTTTTATTGTTTATGGATGTCAGAATTTAATTTTACTATCTCTTACATAGTACAAGAATATCTAACCTAGAATTGGATTAACCATGGTTGTAACTTTAAGCACTTTGCCATATAGTTTATACATTCCAAAACCTTTAAATTTTCTGTAAATAAAAATAGCTGTTGTTAATAAAGAAAAAATACAAATTTGTTGCAGAAGAATTAGAAATCCAAAGAGATAAAGAGAACAAAATGAGCCGTCAGAGTCACCCATAGTACACTAGTAAGTAATCAGTCATATCTTTTGTGTATCCTGGCAAACCTTCTCATATTCACTTGCTTTCGTAGTTTGTTACATTGAATTTTCATTGTAAAACATTCAAGCTGTACTTAAAATGTAAAGGCCCTCCGTATTCCCATTTTTCTACATCTCCTTATCATAAGGCAGCTCCTGTTCAACAGTGCTCTACTTACATCTTCTGCATTCTGATGCTTTTGCTGTTACATCTGCAATATGCGTTTCGGTGTTACACGGACAAGGTGGTAAGTATGAGGAAAGCACTTTCTGCGGGCTGAAGTGTGACCGTCGTCTCCAGGAAGAGCATACTTTTAATTGTGAATGGACGTTTTTTGCATGGGACAACATTTTTATTGAAAAAAAATTTGATTGACAAAAAACTACTTGGTTATTTAGATTTAGGTATTTGACAGGCATATTCTCAAGATTGAATGAAGTTGCTCTCTTGTTTCAAGGAAAATATCTTATGGCATTTATTGCCAATAATGAGAATAGAAATTTCTAGCAAAACTTGTGATTTTGGAAAACTGTGTTTGTCTCTGGGAACTTGCCAGCTTTTCTTCCTCTGAAAACTTGTCTAACGAGATTAATAATAATAATTAACAAATAGATTTTTGATCTTATGTAAAGTTTTACTTATATTTAGAAGACAGCAAATGAATATTTTCTGGATGACTAATTTGCATTACACACTCATGCATGAATAAAAGATATATCAGTGGATGTAAATTGTAGAAGAGTTCAGAAGGTTAATTGGTATGGTTTCAGATTATGCACTGCAGCTAATCTTTAAGAAACCAACTACATACTTGTGTGAAGTTGGATTTCTTCATAGACTTCAGTCAGAACAGCACATCAAAATAGACTGAATGTAGAAGCAGATGTGAGAATCCAGTCATTTCTGTTAAGCTTGACAGAAAGATTCACAAAGTTGAAATATTGCCACTCTTGTCACAATTTTTAAATGTAATTTTTATTTTATTTTTTACTTTATTTCATTTATGTCATTTCATTTCTGTCTCTCTTTTTTTTTGGCGGGGGGGTACTGGAGATCAAACTCACAACCTTGCACTTGCCAGGCAGGCAGTTACGCCGCTTAGCTAAATCCCCAAATGTAATTTTTAAAAGAAATAGTATTTATGTTAACATGTAGGGAGTTTACTACTTAAGCAAATTAATAAATATTTTTAAAATTTCTTGGGTTTAATTTGTAACATAGTAAATAGTGATAGATGTAACTCATGTTAACAGAAGCTCTTTGGGGTCCTCAATAAATTTGTAAAGGTAAGGCAGGGTTCTATAACCTAAGAGATTGAGAATTGTTGATTTTTATCATAGTATTATACTATGAAATTCATCTGGCTTCATGTTGGTGGATATTGAAGTTCCTCCCATTTTTTTCTTTTCTATTTTAAACAGCCCTGCTTTGAACTTTCTTGAAACAACACCTAGTATAATTTCATGCCAGATACCTAGCTAGAGGGAGAGTCTTATTTGTAGTGGGCTTTATGCCTTCTCTTTCCCCATTTCCTATTTCTGTTTGTGTTGGCTTAAGGGGGATAATTCCTACCTGATGTGGAACTGGCATCTATGACCTCATCTAAGTAGATTCCTGGCAACAGCATTTAGATCCGGGGTAGTATGTGGCCCAAGGTGTTATCGAAATGCTGGAGCAAATACGTTCTCTTTTCCCCGATGTCACTTATGAGGAAGTATTGGTGTACTTTTAGCACCATGAAAAACCATCCTTCTGTGAAGCTGACACTGAAGTATACAAAGAAGAAACATGAAAAGAAATTAGGTTGTTGGTGATACTGCTCACCTGCTAGTTATGGCTTTCTTTTCAATTCTCCCTTTGAATATTTCAGGTAAGGGGGCATTAACTTCCCTTTACCTTTGGTAAACCTGTTTGAATAAAGTTTTGTTTTGTTTTGAACTTCACTGGTGTTGTGGCAGTACTTGATAGAAAGATGGCACAGGGAATGGAAAGTTCCTTTGCAGCAAAGGATATGGAATCAGAGAGAGACAGAGAGAGACCAAGTAGAAGACAGCAGCAGGTGGGAGTGTAGCTGTCCCAGATCTCCAGATTCTCTAGGAGTTCCCATGGGCCTTTTGGATTTCCCCAGTGGCCCTTCATTCTCTGCCACCTGAGTGTGCTTAGGCAGCTCTGGCTCCACCAGATGTAAGTAATTGGTAGAAAATGACCTCAGCACATTACATGCAGTAAGAATAGGTGGGCCAAAGGATGTTTCCCCAGGTGTGGCATCATCTTTCAGCATTCCCAGGCCTCTAGTTTGTCTCATGTTTATTCTTAAAAAATAAGAATTTTCTTCTCGGGCATAGTTACTATGTTTTCTCATCCAGAAAACACTGATTACTTTCTTTTCTGTATTAGTTGATATTTGACCATAAAACTGGCCACACAGCATCAGGAGAAGACCTGACAGTTACTTAGAATTCAAAACCCTATGGCCCTATTAATTGTTAGAATAAGAAAGCAGAATCCTTCCTTGTCAAATAGGTAGCATAAAATTAAGCACAAAGGATCCAGGGGAATGACCTTAAAGTAGCTTTGGAGCTAGTCTTTTTAACAGTAAAGTTCAAAACCACAAACACACTAGATCAGTCCAGACTTGGTGAAAGCTGCAACCTTTAACAAACTGCAGTTCTGTGAGAAGGTGTCTCCAGGATTCTGGTTGAAAGGCATTACAAAACTCAGGGTAGTACCCCCCTCCCCTTATTGGCTGAATGAGTAGGTTTAAACACCTCAGAAAAAATTATTTCTCAGAAAAAAATGATAAAATTTATCGTTACATGGAGCTTTGTTTTCTAACTGAATTTATAAAAAATACTGAATAGTATGAACTCTTACGTCTTCATTCAATTGAGATTTGCATGTGTAGTATGCAGGTTTGGTTGGCCTCATGAAAGATAATGGAAGAAATTGCAACATGGGTCCCATGCTCCACACAGGGAAAGTGATTCTGTGACAAATCATTAAAAAATCCAACAAAAAGTGTTTCCATATTTTGAAGAAAACACCTCATATCAGGTATTAGCTTTTCCAACGGATAACTTATTAAATATTTCCTATATGTTTGCTATACTTCAGTTCAACCTGAAGAGGTAGAGCAATGCATGTGTGTGTAAAAACAGGATAGAAATGAGAAAAGAAATCACAACATGGATGTTACCAGCTAAGTTTAGACCAAATGAGCTTCCCTTACTTTCTTGAATTTGGCTGAGAATAACAGCAGAAACCAAATATCCTGAAGGCTTTTCAGAGTGCTTCTAGCTGTTGGTACCCAAGTATCTTTTTAGCAACAGTGGTGCTGTCACTTGTTGGGAGCCACTGAAGCTAGAAATTGAACACCCGTGCAGAGTGGGGGCATGGCCCGTTGGAGAACAAAGGGTTGCCTCAAAGGGCAGGTTAGGGCCACAGCTGAGGATACCTGGCTTCAACCCCAGTTAGCAATTATAGCTGCTGGCATTTCACTCCAGTAGTGAAAGTCAGCCTGGAGACTTGCTCCTAAGATACTTCTCCTAAATTAACGAGTCTGTTACTTGAAAAAGTTCTTGAACCACTCCCAAGGATTTTCCTGTGTTTTCCACTCTAACCCCTTCTTTGTTTTTGAACTTAAATACAAGCCACCCAGGGACATTCCTTCTCTCAGCCCCCAGAGTCTCAAACTCCGTTTGAGGATTTTGATCATTCTGGAACCCTAAAATCATACCGTTTGTCTCATTTATTGAAGCCTTCATACACTCATTTGGGAGACTGGGGATCTTGGCCAGGTCCCTGATAATCACCTCTACCTGTTGGGTGGGGGTAAGAACTTCCTTGACAAGATGTGCAAGGCCACAAACCTTTTATCCTTTCATTCCAATGAGGGGAGGTGCTTCACCCACTCCTCCTAAAAGACCAAAGGTGCTGGAAGAATTGAGTAGGTTAGGAAGTGTGGCTTATCCCTGGGAAAGCTTTTGACCTGCTGCTCCAGTGGCCGCTGTATGTACTTGGGCTTACAGGTAGGATGGGCTGAGAGTGTAGCTGTGCACAG